GCGTCGCAGGCAGCTCCGACAGAACACAGACCAACTTTTACCTGCTGTCTTAACAGCGCGTTTTAGAAAATACTACAAATGGCGTGGTGAGCGCCATCTGTAGTACGATGCTACATTTTAGGATTACGTATGCTCCAGCAAGGTCCATTTAAAAATATGGATATCTACTTGCTGAAACGAATCCCGGCGTAGCTCATCTCATTTTTATTGTGTGTAATGTGATATGAAATATTATTCTGAAAATTCATATTGAATTTTATACTCACTCGTAGTTTAGTGGTAGAACATTGGTGCGTAAAGCCAAAGATTCCGGGTTCGATTCCCGGCGAGGGTGAGACAACAGCAACAATTTTTCCCTCATTAATTTGAGGTAGTGTGTAGTGGGTATAAAATTCAAAAATGAATTTTCAGAATAATATTTCATATCAAACTAACTCACTTCGAAAAGATTCTAAATTGTATGTATGTTTAATCATAGTATATTCAGTGTGTAATGTGGATGAAATCTTTTTAGATACCTCTCGCGACCAATATAAACCATTTAATTGTGCCAAATGCTGGTCTGGGATTCGCTATGGGTATGGTGGACAGTTCTATGATGCCTGAGCTAGGGTTTTTGGTCGACATTCGTCATTCAGCAGTGTACGGGAGCGTATACGCCATCGGCGATGTTGCTTTTTGCTTAGGCTTCGCCATTGGTAAGCAATTATATTGATTTTACAGCAAAGTGTCACAAAACCTTTCGATTAGTTGATATAATTTTTATTGTATTCATCTTACGTCATTGAAAGTTTCAACTGGAATGCGTTTTTTTTTACTGGGAAAAAACTGCCACGAGATATATTCGCTGCAGTACATTTTTGTGTTATATGTACCACGGCTTACTTTCATAAAATGTTACACTTCAGCGGCTAGCCGACAACAAGAACTCAAGTTTACAATGCAACAGATTATTTATTGAATATCATACAGTTTATTGTTGAGATACTTAAATTGTCACTTTAAACGCATTTAAAAGATACTTTTGACTTTCAGTTATTTTAGTTTTTTTGACTAAAATCAGTAAAAATCGACCGAATAAAACTAAAAGGTTTAGATAATTATCTACTAATTTTGACATTGTTCTTAATTAAAATTAACAAAATTTCACTTATAATTTTTCTGTAATACATTTCTCGAACAGTTTTCTTATATGTTCACGCATTATTACCGCGTGTTCCTTCAGTAATTAACGGCACGCTTTCGAGAACTTTTCACATTAAACCCACTTTACATGGATTATATAAACAACATTTTTAACATACAGGCAAATTGAATGACACCATGCCCAGTAATGATTAATTATCATAATATTACATACTGGCAGTGAAACTAAATTATAGACATGCACAACACACTTGGGAAAATTGTCGATTTTCACAACCGAGCCTGCCGAAACAACAGTATTTTTTATAACAATTAGATACCTATTTAGAAAAGAATTGCGTACATTATTTATTATTCGTTTTTTGTTGTTTTATAATGTCTGAATGCTTATTTTATCAATGTATTGGTCAGGGCCGGCCTTAAGTGGGACTCTCGTAAAAAGTATTGGATTCGAATGGATGCTTTTTGGTATAGCAATTTTGAATTTTATGTACGCCCCAATGCTAATGAGTTTGAAAAGTCCACCAACAAAAGAAGAAAAAAAGGTAACAAACAAAATAATAAAATTATTATCCGAGACGTAATATAAGTAAATGTATGTCGTAGAATTTGCTACATGGGGGTGAAAAATCGTCAGTGCGCTATGTGACATACCAGAACGAAGATGATACCGAGTGATTTCCTAACTTTACCGACACATATATTTAAACAAAATCATATATAACCCACCACCAATATACTAACCGTTCTAATAGGTGCAATATTATATTTACCATGATATATTATATATTACATGTAAACGATGAAGACTCGTTAAAATAAATTTCACGGTCAGAACAAAAATTATAAATTCGGAGGGTCCTCGTCAGAGACCGTTGTGAATGGCTGCACTTCAGTCTGTTCCCTCGAAGAGGGAGACGAGGCAATAAGATGCCTTCCCCTTTTCGACCTCTAACCCCTCATGATGTTATTGCAATTAAGTCAAGAGTCTTCATCCCCCCCTCCAATTGTCGGTCAATGGATGCTATTTACTCATTATATATATATAGAATACAATATATTACATAACATTATTATCTTAGACGTACTTGTATCTTTAGATATGTATGTAGTTGAATAATGTGACACATGTTAATGATTAATCACTGAAATGATATTTTATTAATTGTTGTTTGTATTAAATTTACGAATTGCTGAGCCAATCAAAGACGCAGCAAAACTTGGCAACAACGCAAGTTAAGTTCCGCCCCCTCTCTTGAATGTTGTTAAAAGTACGGGGTCACTTATTAAAAGTATAGCACTCAATCGCGCGGCTCGCTAATGCAAACCAAGTGGCCAGTGTTTTAAAGGCCCTGCTTTTATATGCTTTTCGTTTCTAGGGGCGTTGCTTAAAACTGTCAAACGTCTATTTAGCCGGCTGCGCGCGCATAACTTGCATTAACAAGCCACGCCTTACGAAGCGCTTCTTAAATGTTACGTACGTACAATACACTAAATAACTAATACGTATATAGGAATTCTGTTGTAATTGTTGTGTATTATTATTCTCTATGGTAACCAATACATAATATACTGTTCGGTCGTTGTTTTATGCTATAAAAGAAAGTTTTTTGTATTCACGCCGCAATATTACTACTTCAAAAGAGCTACTCCTTAGCTCCATAGAAGATTATTGTGAGAAGACAATAATCGTCCGTGTTACTCTTCAAAAATATTAATTAGTTAATTAAAAAAAGTCGCTTAAAAGCTGGTAAGGGTCCGAACAACAACAGCAAGCGTGAAAACGCTGACTTGTCTTAGTGTTTAGTCAAAATGATTATTATATCATCATTACATTATGTATTATTGTCATTATTACTCCTTTGTGTAAATGTTGGTGTTAATAAGTGTTTTAGGGAAAATGGAAGTAATCTGCTGCATGCTAAAATTGTATAAGTACATTAATAACAGCAGTTTGTCTACAAGTCTACATATTTATTAAATTAAATTAATATAAATGTAATTGTAAACTTGTGCGTAGGAAACTATCCCTTATTAATAATATTGTTAATGTTTGGTGTAAATTATATTATGTATGTTTCATGATGTAATAAATACTATTCGTATAGCTTCAGTCTTTTTCATTTTTATACGATTTACAAGTCATTTTTAACCATAAATAAATATATAAATATTAGGGTTGCGCAAAAAAATTGATTATTTCTTTTTCAATCTCGAGTGAGTTTTGGATGTTTTAAGAACCCTCTCCAAAGGACAGCTCAAAAAAAAATTTCCAAGATGATTTTTTTTTCGTTACGATATAATTTCATAGACCAAAAAATAATAACTTTCTGGAAGTTTCNGACTTGTGTACATTTCAATCGTGCAATAATAAAAGTTGTGTAAACTTTGAACAATTGTAATTGATGATGAAAAACAATCAATTTTATTTGATGTTTCATTTATTTTTTCATTTAGTGTTTAATTTTAGGTGTTAAATTATATTAACATTTATATTACTGGACTGGACGGCAAGGGTGCATTTAATATTAAAACAACTGTTAATTTTCTAAGGGAATCTTAAACATTGTAGAAGTTGTGGCGGCAAAACCGAGAAATAATAAATTTCTGGGTACGGCGGCGGTTCATGGATCAAAGAAAATTCCTGGCGATAAACTTTTACTTTTATGTAATAAGTACGAGAAGTTATGCGGTATTGCGGTATAGCCGAAGGAAATTTTGGAAAGGTTACGATTTTTTCGAGCGAAATATTTTGAATTGCTTATTACATTTCGGTCGGTGAAATGTATTCTGTTATGTATGTGTCTTGTAATCCGTTTCCAGAATCGGTTATTCAATCAAGTGAGGAAATTGTAGCATAACGAATTGGTTATTTAAATCGAGGGATATTTTTTCGTTGTGTGCCAGTATTTTTGGGGGAAGCTTGTCGCGTTTCGATGAAATTTACATTCTACATTTTCGTCTAGAAAAGTTTTACGGTGCGGGTATAGGAAAAGTTGGAATTTCTTCCTGTTTTTCTTACTGCCCGGTCAGATAGCATCTTTACCGCTACGTAACGGATTACGAAGTTAAACTTCTTTTTAAACTTCGATAATTTAGAAACCATCTGAAGTAGAATGGCCACGAAATTGTCAGAGACACTTCAGCGAATATCTAACAACAACATAAGAAATTTTCTACCCTGATACTGATAATGAGGCGATTTTTGTTCTAAAAAAATTTCCCTCAACAAGGAATAATAGTATGTGCAAGAAACGGGTTCATCATCAGTTTCTGGGTAGTTTTGTCGTTTTGTCCTGCGGGTTGAGTTATGATTCGGATTTGAAAGTGCCATCGGCAAACGCTTGCCTTTAAGCAAAGGACACGGCAACATTACCCAAAACTTACGAAATACAGATTAATAAAGTATCTGAATCACATATTTATAGGTACTTAGAAATCGCGTGAGGATGTTTCAATAAAAGGTAAACTTTTCAAATCAAAGGACATTTAAAAGGGATATTGTCTTACAACGGTGGAGCTACACGGAGAAAACAAAATTTTTATGACAACGCAAAAATTACAATTTTCGATTGTAAATGACTAAATTTGTCGTACAAATACTACAATTTATTAGGTAATTTGTAATAATCTCAATTTTGACGTTTTTTTAAAAATAATTTAAAGTTTCTTAATTATTACCAATAAATTTCTAATGTCAATCAAAATACCTAGTAAATTTGTTTTTGCTGCAATTTTATTTTTACAAATACAGATCCAAATTGTAATTTTTATTATTTTCGCTCAGGAATCAACAGACTAGTTGGGATAAATTGTAAATATCGCTTTAATATTTAGATAAATTTTCGTTTTTCATTTTCTCCGTGTACATAACTATATACAAAATACGTCATAATTAATCCAAAGGTTTATCAAGATGTGGCCCAAAATGTATCTCAATCAAAACTAAAGTTACTTTTACTCATAAAAATTTGCGACAAAGAAATGTTAAGCTGTTATGGTCGGTGAAGGTTTTGCCCAACCTGTATAGAGGAATACGCATTTACTAGGTACATGTGCGCTGTTTTGCGACAATACTTAGATAACACATCCAAAAGCGTGATCTAGAAAGTGTGGTCGCACTTACACCTGCTCTAAAGCCCGTTTTGTTTAAACTTTGTTCATGCTAAAAACAACAGAATCGAATAATTCTAAGTCGCTATGGGTTCGTACACTTTCTCCACCTGTAGGGTGTAATTCTAAGGCGGGGAGCATAAAAAGGCCCAACCATACAATGAGAAAATACAGTCAGGTGCAAGTTTTAGTTCTAGACACAACCATGAATTTCCTGGTAAGTGAAATACCATGCAACTTGAGCCGCAAAATTTTGAAATTATAAGTTTTCCAACTAATTTTAGGTGTTAGATACTGATAGTGATTTTTGTGACGACGGAGTGTATATTTTGGAATTTAGACCATACTCTTTCGTATGGCCGCGGGAAATTCTTTTCATTGTGCTACTCAGAATAAAAAAAATCAATAGAATTACTAAATATTATGTAGGTAATTTTAAATTTAAATTTAAACTTTTTGAAATTTAAAATAAGCGAATGAAAACTCAAATTGTCAAAATTAGATAGGTACCTGGTCAAAAAGCCTTTTACTTGAACCTATTTGTTATTGCTTTATTTATTTGAATCTACTCTTATTGGTTTCATCAACTTATTAATCAATAATAATAATCGATATACCTATTAAAGTAAGTATCCTAGAAAACGTGTAGCGAGTTTCACAATACTTAATAAATAATTAGTCGTTCAATATCATTAATCCATATCGAACTTGTTACCTTAAAGGTATAGATATTTAATGATCTAAAATAAACAAAATCTTTACAACCAACCGGATACGTATTCATTTGTCGTACTTATACTTCCTCATAATCATTGTGGCGGAAACAAAAGAAGTACAATAAATACCCGGATATCTATCACGGGAAAATGAAAAGAAACAATTGAGCACTCTAACAAATAAAGCAACCGCCTACTCTGATGTCGTTGCACAAAATTAAAAAAGCGGTAATGGTACAGTTACAATCGATGTTTAGATTTCTTCTTTTCATTTAAGTTGCTTATTAATGATTTCAGAACAAAAAGCATAACAAATCATCGGACTGTTAATCTGGAAGTAATCAAAACAATTCCTACATTACTGGACATTTGTTGTTGTTCGATACACTTAACAGGTGTTTTAATGCATGAGTGTTTTTCTTTTTTTTTTTTTGATTTGCAATGTCCTTATGTTTCGAACCTGTTTGCTATCTCCATGCATCGCCGCGAATACTAAATGAATTGTGATCATATATCACTGTAACAGTGTAACAAGTTTTACATTTCGGAAGTGAACTAGTTTTGTGTAACGAATACTAACTGACATTCGCCAGCGTCAGTGGCGCATTTCGAATTGTCGTTATGTAATCGGCTAATCGCGAATTTGCTCCCTACCGAACAAGCACGCTAGATCAATTTTAATCGATAAAATTTTTGACACTTGCGAATAAAATTTACATACACTTAATTTCTCATTCGACATTCCGCAACGGTAAGCAATTGTCGAAAGCGTTTTTACAAGCAATTAATTTTATTACACTTTGACATTAATGGGCGGTGTAATTGCTAGCAATTATCGATGAATGAACTTACATAACAATAATTCATGAGCGTTAGCAAATTATTAAATAATCCAAGATATATGAAATATTAAAATAAAATGCTTTAGTTTTATTAGTTGAAATTTCATAGCCATGGTTCAGCCCAATTTTTTATTAGTAGAGAGAATTAGTCTTCAAATATATCACAGTTAGTTTTTGAGTGACCGCATCCCCTTGCTAGGCTTTTATATCACTGTAAAATATTATTTTCTTCAACCCTTTTCACTGCTGAATATTTATTTATTTTAAAACAAATTGATAACACTAGTAAAGGCTTTCGCGGCTAGTATAGATCCTGATCCTCGTCTAAAGGTCATCGCCAGTCGAAGTTGTTTCCTAATGTTTCGCTAGGACGAGTGGCGAACTTCAGACGTTCTTCCTTGATTAATTCCAGTCCATATCTAGCATCAAAAAATTGAATGACGTTTGAAGAAGTTTGTCACTCGGGCTAGCGAAACGTTACGAGGCAATTCCAATCGACGACGGCCTTTACGTAAACCCTAATCGGGATGACATCAGTTCAAATTGGTAAAATACAAGAACATATTACAGCTTGGATCCTGTATCGTCATGGCATCAGCCTTTGTTGCGTGCAAGGCGCAATATTACCAACAACAGCAAAATGAACCTGAACGGGAAGAGTCTCAGTTTGCTTACAGCGCCCCCAGAACACCCTCGCCCCAAATAATATCCCACAAACAGGCACTGAACCACGATGGTAACTTCAAATACGCGTTTGCCGCCGAAAACGGATTGGCCCAGGGTGAATCCATAGCCCCTGATGGCAGTCGTACAGGTACTTACTAAGACTTTTCAATTTTGTGAACAATAATCTAATCTAAGTCTTCTTCTACCTCCCTGTACTCCTGTTTCTGCCTGTAACTATTCCTTCATGGCTCTTCTATTCCTTGATACTTCTTAATTCGTAATATTTGTTTTTAATAGGTGGTTATACCTACGTGGACCCCAATGGTAAAAAAATATCAGTAAAATACACCGCAGGAAAAGATGGTTTCAAAATTTTGGAGGGCGATCATATCCCTAAGGCGCCCCCTCACGCTTTAATTGCCGAGCAGTCGCGGAGGGCTCAAGTCCAAGAGCCCAGCTATTACAAACCAGCGCCTGTACAGCAATACGTGTCTGCCCAACCTAGAGCCCAATTTGGCCTCCAACAACCCCGAGCGGCATACACTCAAGTGCGACCTGCTTTCACCCCCTCGAACGAACTTGAACAGCAAAGGGACCTCGACTATCAGGATGAACCTGGCAAACCTCATTCGTTTGGAAGCGGCTACGTTTTTGAATTTACCGGTTGAACGATCATCTATTGTTAACTATTTCTCTTTTTTTTTTTAAACATCTTTCTCTCTCGTTCGATTTCAGTTACTAGCGTAAGTTTAGTAAGTTTTTTTTTTAATGTTATGAAAGCTTTAAGTTCCTGACTGAACCCTGTAATGTCTGACATGATTGCATGCTCGTCCAAGTGTTTGTGTAATAATAAAAGTTGTTGTTGACCAATATATTGATTATAAAATATCGTAAAAATGACTTTACTTTTATCCCAATTGGTAAAAAAGAAAACGGCTTTTGAAAATTAAAGACCGAAAAAATATTTTGCCAAAAAGCGAAAACAAATGAACAAAAAAGATGCTACCATAATTGAATTTTTAACATTATATCGTCACACATATTAATATGTGTATTATTAAACAATTGAAAACATCCTATTGTTGAAAATAAAGTCGATCGGAAGCTTCTATTGTTTATGTCTTAAATAACAAATGCTAAACGAAACAACATTCTTTTTGTTAAACAAATGCAATACCTCAACAAATAACAACATTTTGCTAGCTACAAAATAAAGAAAAAGAAAACTCACCAATATATTGTTATAGTAATATCCTTTTTTTAGTTGAACCAAACAAACCATCAGTTTTCAAAGTCTTAAAAATTAATTACTCTAGAGTAATTAAAATCTGTTGTCTTCGTTGAAAATACCGTTCGACACGATAATTTTCCGAAAAACTTGTTAAAACAGACCTATTAGCACAACGTTACCGATAATCGTCCCGTTTAACACTGACTAACATATTAAAATCCTAATCTATTATTTACGTCCCCGTTCCCCTCATCTCTTCACCTTAAGATGTTCGACTGTTTCTATTCACAACTCAAAGAAAATCGGAGGTCGAACAGCGAGTCAATAAGATTACAAGAAAAAAATCTGATAAAGTCCTTTCATTTAAATAGCACATTTGTTAGAAAATGTGTAATGTACAGTAAGTGGCAAAAGTAATGTACACTATTAGCGAAAATCACTATTGGCATTTATGATATCAATTCAAAACTCATAATCGTCCTGAAGTAACAACCCTCATTACACTAAAATTGCATCGATATCTATTTAGTAATTCATGAAATTTTTGATAATATCAAAACGTGTAGCAGATTTTTTTTTTAAATTTTTTATTAATAACAATATATACAAATTTTAATAACATATCGATGTATTTACGTGTGTTTATATATAGATATATACAAGAAAAATAATTTACACTGTTCAAAAGAACAAAAGAAATACGACATCATACACAGCAAATCACTCTTCGTCATCACATTCTGGAATAGTCGGAGGTATAACGATGCTACTTCTTCCCGAGTCCTCGGAGGTGCTGGGCAGGTCTTCTTGTGGTTCTGGGCTACTCCTTTCCGGTCCGAAACCGGGAGATTGCGTTAGGAACTTTTCGAGATTCATCAATTTCACTTGGAAATAACGTTTTTCTTCGTTCAAACAAGCAAGGTCTTTTTCTTGCTCTGCTATCACCTGACGAAGATCTGATATTATGTTGAGATCTTCTTGTCTCGATTCCCTTCTCTCGTACCTTGATCGGACCTCTTCAAACCTGTCAAAAATCATAATAAACAAGGATAAATGTTGTACTGGGTTAAACAAAACCAGATTATTAATAATTTAAAATAGATCTTGCAATGCCAAGACTTGGACAGTCTAGTTTAGATTGGATTGGGAAAAATCAGGCTGATAAATAATCATTTTTACTTACAATTTCGTTAAACATTGGCATTTTCTTTGTAACTGCTCCATGCTGGACTGATTCTGTTTCTGGACATGAGCCAATTGGGCTCTGTGTTCTTCGTTCTCTCTTCTATGCTGCATTTGCAGCTTGACTATGTATTCTTGCAAACCTCTGCATCCAAAGGAGAGGAATTAAAAAAAGGGGGTACGGTTGGGGAGAGAAAACAATTGCAATCTTTTTAAAATCATTGTATCCAACACACGAATGCACCAAAGAGATATTGTAAATAATAATTTTTACTAAAAAGTATTGTCAAATCAACCGCAAAAATAGATAAGAAATTACCAATAATTGTAATTGTAAATATTTTTTCACTAGATACTCATTTGTTTTAAAAATTTTCTTGATAAGAAACTTCGTATAAAACCAATAGAAAATTGCAAAATCGTAGAAAAATGTAAAAGACAAAAACTATTTACGAAAGACTACAAACGCTACAACACAAATGCAAATTAATTAATTTATTAATAAGTCAAATATATATGTAAAGTTAATGGCATGCTTTAGCTTTTGTAAAAGACATAAATTATTATTGCGAACAGATAGATGGAAAAGTGAACCCAGGAACTGGATAGAAGCCATGAGACTAAGGTGTAAAGGATTATTAACTGGGTTGTATCCCTCGATACACCCTTAACACATCTATGAAAGAAAAAATTAAAAATGTGTTATTAGTAAGATGAAAATGACATCTACAGAGAGATTTATTACTTTTAATAGTAATTAGAATAAAAAGTTCTTTTTGTTTTATTAAAAAGAATATCTACGAATATTTTAGTCAATTAATGAATTAATTAATTAATTAATTGATTAATGGATACTACATGTACATGTATGTGTGAAATAATATCTAATCTTTCATGCAATTAAGTGTGTACGAAAATGAAATAATTAAAACAAAAGATAACTGTAGGAAAATGTGCTATTCCAATTTACCTAATTGTAAAACTAAATTGAATACTTTTTATTATCAATAATTTTAGAATTTCTACTTACTTTACACGATGCTCAAGGTCAGTCTTGTATTTGGCGAACTTATCATTTTGGGAAGCCACTTCCTGATTAAGTACTTGAACGCCACCTTCGAGGACTTCCACGTTATTTTGGAGATCGTCGATTGTTGAATTTTTCGACATGATTTCATTTTTAAGCGAATCAATTGTTTTTAATAGCTCGACTTCTCTGGAAGAATGTGATTTTTGTTGAGTGTAGAATTGCTCCTCGAGTTGTTTGTATTTGGTGAGGTATTCGTCTTCCACAAGTCTTATGGCCTCGTCCTTTTGGTGCACCAAATTTTCCCACTGCTTGTCTAATGAAACGTCAATAATAAATTATTTATTATAAAATTGATTGGATCACAAAAAAAAAGTATAGACACACCGAGATCTGCCCTGTGTTGATCTATGAGATCCTGGACCTTCAGTTGGGCTTCGTATTCCATTTGTTCCTTGATCAAGTCCAGCTTTGATCCCATAGAATTGACCTGCAGTTGCCAGTTGGCTTCTATTTCCTTTACATTCCTTTCATGTTCGGCATTTATTCTTTCTAAAACATTAATAATAATAATAGTAAGAATCCTTCAATAGTTTTTAAAGGATTCGTTACTTGCATACTTACCAATTTCTTCTTCGTGTTCCTGAACCATTTTTTCGAACCTTTCGTGATGGGTCATGTCAATTTTGTCCATAATCCTCCTCAGTTCCATGATATCACTGTCCTTTTTCGATTGTAACCTTTCCATTTCATTTCTGAAGTGAGTTTCCTTGCTTTCGAGTGACCTGTTCAAATTTTCTACCTGGAAATAATGGTGGGAATTTTTGAAGTTATACTTCTTTAGGCGCGTTATGAAAAACTGATGAGAGTGAAATTTCAAGATGCGCGCGCATCACTGTAACACAAAATTAACAGGATGAAGTTGCCCACTCAACCGAATTCATTAAGTCTCGGAAAAAAGCTACCAACGAAATAGAAATAAAACCTCTCTTAGTCGCGCATGTTGGTACGCTTGTCGCCTCTGATCACTGTTTTCATATTTATTTATAATATTTATCCACATGGTTTTAGTTTTTACAGTCACAACACGTGTTTTATTTTCATACAAGTGCGAATTATATATGTGGCAATAAAATATATTCAGTAGTGATTTAAATTGAATATTTGGATTAATATTATTTACTATTTGTGAATATTAGTGAAAAAATTGTGCTAAAATACTTTTTTAAGTGCTCCAATATAATTGAGGTTAGTTATCCCTATGTATTATTTATTGATATAAATTAAAATATCATTATTTAATATAATTAATACTAAATATTATTAAATTATCAATGTTGAATATTTATTATTGGTTATTTAATATTTACAAAATAAAGAAATAAATTTAATAGAACATTTAATAAAAAGTTCGTGACAAAAATTTAATAGATTATTTAAATATAATGTAAGACATCCGTTATTTGTTTTATTGTTTTTTATTACATACGTCTTTTCTTTATCATTGTGTGACAGAAGATTTTGACATGTTGTGTATTTTTCTATTTTTAATGATGCCAAAGAAGTATAACTTCTCACGCGCGTACATAAGTACACGCACCCATTTTTTTTTTTTGATTGGCACTGTACAACGTTCAGATTTCTTTTGCTACACGCGAGCTATTTTCTTCGTCGTTGATAATAGTAACGCTAGCAACGCCGTTTAATTTAATAACATGTGCCAAAAAGATTTTATACATTTAGATGTATTAATAACCTTTTTATTTTGGAACTTCAAATTCATTTACATGTCTTGTTGCAACACATTTAGTATCTGAGATTGAAATACGTTTTATATTCAACGTTTAAAACAATTTGCATAGTTTTAAAGGGGTTGTAGAAGTTAAAGACCATTTTTGGCCCCTATCAAAGCCAAAACACGTTCGTTGTCAGTCTTAGGAAATTTAATCAAACAGTTTTCAGGTCAAAATCATGGATCCCAAATATTAATCAACACAGTCGAAACGTCTTGGGGATCGTAAAAAAGATTGTGGTTCTTGTTGGGATTCAAAAATAGATTACTTTGAATAAAAATGTGCTTACCTCTTTGACAACTTCGTTTAATTTCTTTTCCCAATTTTTTTTGGCTTCTTGAAGCTCCAGTTCCTTTCGCGCTTTTACGCTTTCAATGGCGGCTTGCTTCTCTTCCAAATAGATTTGCTCCAATTCACTTTTAAGCCTTCCACATTCGTGAAGAAGCCTTGATTCCCAGTAGGTTGCAATTTCTGTTTTTGCCTCTTCGAGTTTTATCTGCAATTTTCTTTCCTTTTCCAGCATCTCCTGATTGTGGACGCGCTGCATGTGTTGGAGATTCTCCTTCTCCATATCTACGATCTTCCGAAGTCTTTTGGTCTCATCCTTCAGTCGTTGGTCTGCTACCTTGAGTTCTTCTTGTTGGTCCAGCATCATCGTAAGAGACTTCTTTTGTTCTTCCGTTAGTCCTCGTAAGTTTTGGACTTCTACTTCGTACGACTTTAAACTTGCAACCTAGAAGAAAAACAGTTTACTTGATGTGTGGTAAATAGATGATGAATTGTACCTCTTCCATCATCTTCTCAGCGTCTCGCAGCTTCACCTCTGCTTCTTTGCAGGCTTCTCTCAGTTGTTCTTCGATCTTCTTGTCCTTTTCTTGCAGTCTTTTTTTACACGTCTGTTCTATCTCCCTCAATTTCCACTCGAAGTCGTCCAATAGTTCTTGTTCTTTCACAATGTTCACAGTCCTTATTTTTTCGAATTCGATGGTCCATTTCTCTTCGATCTCAGTTTTTTCCCGGACAACTTTGGCCAAAGCTTCGTCAAAGTTCTTCTTTTCTTCCTTCATCTTCTCTATCAATTCAGACTTCTGTTTCTCGAGGATTTCTTTCTCCTTTTCTAGAACTTCGATCTGGCTTTCTAGCGAATCAATCTTGTTGTTTAGTTCTCGTATCGAGTGCTGCAGTTCTGCTATCTTATCGTTTGCAGACCCTTGAAAATCGCTAAAACTATCTGTGGAAAACGGTACCTAATCGTGACAAAATATTTTTTTGATTGACCACAGTTATAGACTCCTACCAGTTTTTTGGGTAAGTTGTTCGGCCAGTTCTGTGAACTTCTGCCTTGACGTTTGAAGGTCCTCTTCGAGGTGTTTCAGCCTTTGCTTTGCAGCATCGGATTCCTTGTTCGCCGATTGCAATTCGGCTTGCAGCCCTAAATAGGAAAAACAACAGCCCATGATGAACTTGAACTACATCGATAAATTTAGTAACGTTTTCGTTACCTACATATGCTAAGGGGGCAATGCGGAATGTGTTTTGTACGGAAATTTTAATTAAACCGTTTAAGCTATCGCTTAATGCCACCACATGTCCCGCAATCGCTCTTATCTCTCTTTATTCATATTTAATTGAACCAAAATAAGTAACACTTAAAACTATTGTTTAGTTTTCGTTTGGCTGAAAGAAAAAATCGTCGCATTTTCCCCAAAGTGATAATTTCTTTTTCCCGATTTGTCATGCAATTGACGCAAATCGTCATGATCTGTTTCCTGTCAACCGGTTGTGGATATTTTTATGTCTAAGTACGACTATTTTTTGCCCTATTGGCCTTGAAATCAGTCAACGAATGGTTGAACTGGCACGTTACCATCATTATCTGCGTGAAATCGTTTGAATGTTCAGGTGAAATTATTTTTAAACACCTGAATTAAAATCGCATGTTTTAGAATCAAAATTAGTGCACCATCTTTTGTTTACGTTTGTCCATAATCGATGTAATGTATTAAAAAGTTAAGACTAAAGGCGTATTAGTCAAACGTTTATAAAAGCTAAAAATCGATAGAATTTTGGCAGCTGCTGATCTTGAACTTTATCGAGGCAAAGCCAAGAATTTGTAGTAATTAACTGTACAATATTAAATACAATACAAAGAAACATTTTTCGAAAAGATTTACTTACTATCCATTCCTGCGGATTTAGCAAAAACATCACGTTGCAGTTCTTCGATTTGAAAACGTAGTTTACTGACTTCGGCATCCCTTAAGGACAATTGTTTTGATAAATCGTTCAACTGACATTGGAACTTGGCTTCCTGGTTAATAAGATTCTTCCTGCAACAAAATATTCTCACCTTTACAACCAACTCAACAACTTAAACGCAATAAAACAAAAACGCTTTATGTTCTTAGAGTCCGTCTGTAATACGGCTCGCGCTTTGTCCCGCGTATAGATCGTGGGTTTGATTTAGAAAACAACCAATTTTTTTCGATATAGAGACTCTATTTTTAATACGTTTGTGTAAAATGGTATATTACTGTATTTGAAACCGTTTACGAAGGAAGTAATAAAACTAAAATTGCGTCAAAGTAGTTCAAAATAGGACATTAATTACATGTGGTGACGTATGAGCTAACTTATTTATTTTCTAATCAAAATTTTCACAAAAACGAAATAATATGTCGCTAACTAATTGCAATACAGCCAGAACGAAAATATTTCGGGAATCTCAAGTATATGCTACAACTGAAATAGAATAAAGAAATTTAGGTTTTCGTAAACAAATGCGACAACACTTGTTACGCTTCTTGCAAATATCAAATTATCATATTTAAAAATCATCTTTTCTTTGTAGTATATCATAAAATGTTAGAATTACAACTGCTAAATGTTTGACATTTAGAATACGCGTATCCCAAATCGTTATAAAATCCCAAGTTATCTATAAAGACATGTAGGTACTTTTATGATAATGTCCAATGAAACAAAATAAGCTCGCAAAGCGACGTCCCTTCTTATGTTTCATTATCCGTTGTTTCTGTTGTGGGAATGTTCATAATTGTGCAATTGTTTTTGTCACATTTTACCTGAATACATGGCCAGGAATAATGAGTAATATTTTTTTTTGCAGTCGTAACCCGCAGACGTCCCAGAAATACAACGAAAAAAAACTGATCTCTTACTTTGTCGGCGTTAATAGTTAATAGATGCGTAAAAACAGCGTATGCAAGGTTCTTTATTACGCTTTTTAAAAATAGACGAAGAAAGTGGTCCAGAATTTTTAGATTCTCATGAATTATTTATTGGACTGACGTCGACCACATTTACAATCCTTCCAAAATTAGAATACTCTTACAGGTAGCAGAGACTTTTCTTTGAAAAAACGTCACCGCTTATTTTTTTCTAAAAGCCAATGGTAGGTACCTACATACAAAAAATGGCAGAAGCGGTTTGATTTCTTAGCAAAGCAACAAGCTTCCAACAGTAACATACTTATTGTCTTCGAGCACGCCACCGGCGTCGGCAGACACTTGACATTTAGGTAGGTCGAAACGTACCCTCATCACCCCCGTCACTGTATCTCTACCGTCATCTTTAATCTTCGCCCTCGTTTCACTCTTACCCCCCTCGCTATCGCTCTGTCCACTGTTGTCGTCTTTCGACGAGCTTCTGCTAAATTTCGGTCTCACCCCCAGTTCGGGACTTGGCGGGGGTGTTTTGATGTCGTTCCTTTTTCCATACTGGACTGGAATTCGCGGGGAAACGGCCAACGTCCCGTGACCGCAGGGTTTGACGCTGTGAGAGATTTTCTTTTCCGGCGTCTTCAGGATGGACGCGTACGAGAACGGGGTGGTGTGGACGTTGACGGCGCTTTCGGGGGTTGTTTTTGCAGGCACTTCCATGTCCGAAGCGTCCGGGTCGGTTTCGATAGTTTTCGTTATTTTTTGTTCGTTTTCAACACTGACACTACAATCAGAGGTTTCGTGTAATAGTCCGGATTGCGTGACGTAGGCCTGATGTCTTTCCCCACTTTGAGCCTTTTGGTGTGAATTATTTTTAGAGAGATCGCCGTCAGTGTCTGGCTGGACCTCTTTGGATACGTTCCCGTTTTTATCCTTGTTCTTTTTGCCATTGGAATTGTTGTCTGGTTCTTTCCTTATCCGTTTGAAAAAGTTGAACATCACAGATGGAATAGTATTTACGTTATTTCTGAACACACTTGAGAATTATTATTTATTGGTCTAAATACTTCTGATGTTTCTGACGTATGGACGGATTTGTGTGATGACCTCCAGAATTGAGATCCGGTGTCTTAAAATATAAATGCTTTCTTCCTGCGAGGTCTTTAGGTTCTTATAATAACTGGATAAATGCGGTTAATCTAATTGCGTCAAAAGTTTCAAAACAAATCCAAAAATAATGCCGGATCCGACCGATATTACTTTTCCTACGAATTCGACTCATAAATTATGGTGTTTCCTTTTGAAAAGCATTTTTCTCAAACGGAACAATCACTTTCACAATAAAACGCTTTCGAAGTACTTTTGTTTTTATTAATTTTGTGTGTTTTTAAAGACAACTCATTCATTTGTTTCTTTTTTTCTCAGAAGAACACTCATTCCAGACGTAGGACAAATAATTCGTTGTTTCTCTTAAGCAAACAAATGACTATTCACAAACGATTATTATGGACTAGAATGTTGATTTCGACGATAATTAAAAAAAGGAACAAAACAAAAACACTTTTGCCATTTCACTCTTAGTTTTCATAAAAGTCTGGCTTACTTCGATCGTCAGTTTATATTTCGGTCGCGACTGTCACTTAACTAAGTTGGAGCGCCGAAGTTTGCGTTTTGGGGCCGTAGTACCTCTAGCTTTATATATAGATGCCAAAAATAAAAACCAAAAAGCAGCTTTCACTGTCCGATGGGTTTTTAAACCCTAAACGCTCTACAAATAATTTTCATTCCCGCATTAAGAGTCTCATCACCTCGAAAACAAAGAAAAACGTAAGAATCACTGAACTGCATTCTTTTTTTTAGATGTCATTAGCTCTTCATATGAAATACAAAAGATCCTGAATGTAATTCCACGTTGTTTTCTCGTTTATTTTCCTTTTTACCAAAACCATCTTAAAAAACAAAAGTCTGCTCTAAGATTCATTTTGGAATAAAAAATCATTCCCTGTATTACTAATATTCTCTGAAGGTACTGAGCTGAGTCCTGAAAATTTTTTGGCAGAAAAACTAAAACTAATGTAACAAGTTTATTTCATGGTTAGCAACCAGTTTTACGTCTCTGACTCAAACAAAAGCTCATCTCTCACAAAAGAAGAAATAAACTAAAGAAGAAAAAATTGAACTGCGAATATCTCAATTCCTAATACTTTTTTTGTTTTTCGTTACTGAAACAAATACACTTGGAGTATGAACAGTTGCAAGTTTGTTTCATGGTTAGCAACCAGTTTTACGTCTCTGACTCGAACAAAAGCTCATCTCTGACAAAAGAATGAATAAATAAATGAAGAAAAAGTTGAACTGCGAAAATCTCAATTGCTAGTACGTATTTTTTTTTTCTTTTCTGAAACAAATGCAATTGGAGTACGAACAGTTGCATGTTAGGTATGTTTGATACGCCTTCACGGCTCTTGAAATAGATTTTCGTGTAAGTTTCTGCCTGGTGATGATAATTCTTAACATCTCACGTATACGGGCCAAAATAGATTTGCAGAAATAGGCATCGTTCCATCAACATTTAAACTCACTCTATTTCAACCTTGCTAAGAATAACATCACAAAAACATGCTTTTGAGATCCTTAAGGTCAAAAATAGGACCAGTTATTAACCAGGTCTACAGGTGGTTGTTGCCAGAAAAAAATGATCGTCGGTTTGTCAACAACCAAACAATCAATTCAACGAAATTAAAACAAAACAAAACTTTTTTGATTTTTTTCCTTCGCTAGGGTACTGCGTCTTTGACCTTCTAATTTAAATACCAACTAGTGTATTGACATGACGGACAAGCTCAAAAATTAAGTCCATGCCGTAACCAAAGTTATTTAGAGCTCGACATGTGCGTCACTCAACACGTGTTTTTATACATTATTATACATATACTTTAATATGTAGAACACATCATATTCCATAGGCGCAGCTTGCCGTACACAAAATAAAAACAAAGCCAACTGCGTAAAAAGGCCTATTAAAGGCTAAAACAAATGAGCAGTGCGTATCATGGCAGCCTGGCAAATATCACTCCACGAAATTGATCTTCAACAAAAACTAAGTTCTTTTGTTTAATCGAACAAAAAAAAGGTAATATTTTGTTTTGGCGCTTCGTTTTAGAAGACAAAATAAAAAACAAAATGAGTTTATTATTGAGAAACACTTTCGAATGTGACAGTCAATTTTGAACTCTTCTTGTGTTAAAAATACGACAATTTATTGTATGTAGAAAACATTTAGCTCAATTTGTTTATTGCTTCATCTTGTGAAAGATGCAGCAACTTGATTGTCTGTCGCGTCTGTCGATATTTTCTCCAAAACATTTTTTTTCACCTGTCCACGGCCACCTACACAGTCTAAATACCTACGCCTGTATGTGGAACATGATTTAATGGAATTTTGGCTTGGAGTACAGGAAAACCCGCTGTCAGATCTCGATTTATTTTAACGACACAATAAACCACACCAGAGACCATAAACCGACTTTGTCTCTGGAAATTTGAAAGTAAACATGCAATTTAAGTCAGAATAATAAAATGGCCAATCGTTTCCAAAAACGTACCCACGTCAACCTCTTGTGAACCCCGGGTCAAAATTTTTGAAATTATCATTCTGACTACGGCGATGACGATAATACTCCTAGAAATGTATCTTTAGATTTAAAAGTTCGTTTGTTTTTACGGAAAAACAAAAGAAGAACAAAATGCGAAAAAAAAAATTGATGTTTAAACAATAGATACACTTGTTGGCATTAAGGTGCTGCCAATTGTTTATGACCTTTACAAACGCGTTCCTAAATAGAATTTCGATTAGGTGATTGATGTTTATTTAAACTTGACATCTGAAATAAATCAATCTGATGTGCGATATACGTTTATTATTATTATTATATTAAGATTGTATTTACTCAAAATTGTACAATTTCACATTTATTTGATAAGCGTTTCTATTCGCCCATATTTCTTGGGAATACAATAACATATTGCAGAGATGTTCAATAAAACAAAATTTCATATTTTTCTTTTTCCCAGAATTGTTCTTTCTGGTAAGAGGTACCATTGGTAAATTGCCAAAAGCTAACAAAGAAACCAACTAATCCAAACCAGCATATCATGGTCAAATAAGGTGCAACTACAACTTCCCATCCACCATACACAAACATAAATGGAGCATCATAGTAAAATCTGGCTTTATTATAATCCTCATGTCGTAAAATAACGATTAAAATTTTGCCAAAATGTAACACCTCACCTGTTAGTTTTAAAATTACATGCACAAGTGTCTAAAATAAATTTTGAAGACAGTTATCGGGTGCATCGAAAATTTGAACTGGTTGCAATGATCCTTGATACTGAATCGGGAAGATCGCAATTTTGAAAATTAACTTCGGAATATACATTCAATTATCTATGTGTCGATATAATTAACTGTTAAAAGCAATGTTTCTTTCACACACAAACAATTGTAAATGGGAACTGTAAATGAGTCAGAAAAACATCTGGATTTTAAACACTGAGTTCCTCGAATATTTCGTTAAACTCCTATTTCTACTACCTAAATCTTTAAATGTCGATATTTTTAGTTGCTCTATCTGATTCTATCAAATCATCGTAAAAATTGCCTTTTTCTGCTTACCACAATGTAAATCTACGTCCCTTTCTAACAAAAACGTTAACAATAGTCAGGGCTTCAAATCTTATTAATCCAAATACGTACATACACAAATAGGTTTTTAAATGATAATTATGGAAATGTAATCATTCAGTAACGACACCCTTATTTATCCTAAACAAATATTGGGGACTCTTGCTTGGCTAAATCATTCCCGCCTCCCCAGGAAACAATAGGAATTCTAACAATACAATCATTTTATCATCCAGAATTAAACAAAAGCGTAACAAAAAAGTGAAAGCCAATTCCATTATGGCAGCTTATGGCTGCAATTGTCAAAATGAAAACAAATGCAACAATATTAACAAAAGAAAAAGTGCCCAAAATGAAATTCGTTAAAACTCCAGTAGAAATTTGTTTCAAACGGTGCACTTTGCGACTAAGTGTATGGAAAAAGTAAATTAATCTTAACGATTACCAATATCCGAAGAAGTTTGAGATTGCCGAACAGTCGGCTTCGACTCCAGGTACGTCGACGATCGCAGAACAATCTAAATCGCTCGCGGACGTGGCGATTCCAGCATCGGACGTGCCAATTCCAGTGTCTGAGGATTCAGAATCCGTTTCGTCATCACTATCGACTTCCTCCTCATGTCCGATCGCTCCGGTGTCTTTTTGCTGTTCGCCATGGCCAAGTTTACCAAAAATATTTCGCACAAAACTCATCTCAACACGACCGTTACGCACATTAATCTGATCAGATGTAGACTACTACTTACGAACGACGGCATGCGTCGCGGCGTCGCTATCCACGACGACAGCCACCTAGAGGACGACGCTCCACATCAGACATCTAATATAATATGTACCTACAATAGTTTGTAAAAAAAAAAAAAAACAAAGGCGTTTGAAACAAAGACGTTCGATTGTTTGCTGTTTTGCTTTTAAACGTCCGGGACCTCCAATTACGAACCCTTATGGGTTCTTGTTCGTGTGTTATCACGAATTTTGGCAAAAAGAAAGCTCATAGAGCACAGATAAATGAAAAAATCGTTTAATTATTATTAATATTCGTAGGTAACTGCTCTAGTTTTAGAAACCATAGCAATTATAAATAATTAAACGACAGATCGAACGACAATCAGTTCTGTCACATTTTAAAATAACACCAAACTAAATTAATCAATTAAGATATTTCTTATCGGATGAGCGGTGAGTTTTATGACGAAAAAGGCGCAATTGAAATACTTATTTAGCAAACATTGCAGGTCTTAAATCGAAAACAGTGGGTAATAATAATAATCAAACGAGTACATTGATTAGCCAGCCCTTGTCCTGTCCCTGGTCTTCTCGAGCGCCGACATCGTCGTCATCCTGGCTGAAAGGAAACGGTGGTCCCTCGATGACCTTTAAACTCGATTCGACGAGACTCAATAGAGGAATCGAGATTTCTCGTCCTCTGATAAAAATGGCTTGCAACAACAGTCACCAAGTAAGTTAAAACAATTGCCAGACACAAACCCCCGTACATACTGCGATATATAGGGTGACGCATCGTATATAGGGGTGTAGGAGAGGGTTAAGGGAATACTTTTGTGGGGAAGAACCTAATAGAACAAAAGTTTGTTTTGATTCATATACGTAATTAGATCCCTCCCCTACATCTCCCTATCAAGGGGGGTGTATAGAAATAGACAACTAATTACCAAGAGAAGGCCCTACCAGTTTAATTTTTGTTTCAGTTGAATGTGCACAGTTATTACCCCATTCCGCCCTCTACCTGTTTGCCCTCCCAGAATTCAACGACTCAGTTTTTCCATTTTTTCCGCCTCATGCAACTCTTTCCGGAAGTTCATCCGGCTACTTTGCACACCGTGTTGTTTATGTGTAAAAATGACTTTTTCTGTGCCGTGGACAAACTTCTGTACATTAAACGACTTCGACAAGTCGGTAATAACAAAGGTAAGAGTTTAAAAACGTGCCAGAATAATCTCAGGACCGTGCAGCATCCCTATTGGAATCTTACCCAACCGGGGGACAGAATCATCCAGCGAGATCCGCCTGATGTACCTAAAAAACCAGTCCAAAAGGTTATTTTTCTTCCCCAGCCGAAAAGCGATCAGAAAAACGCCAGAAATAATAACCCCAGTACCATACAAGACGTCAAACCGTTCATACAAAGTTTAGATATTGGTAAGTTAAAAAGGAAGATCAATATTTTTCAAAATTAATTGGGATTTTTATTGTTTAAGGTACTAAAAGTGTCGAAAATGCTGAACCCGATCATAATATGTCACGATAAGCCTTAAAAACGTATTGTTTCTTTTTCGTTTCTTCATTTGTTGTTATATCTCGTAGATAAATACACTTTTATTTGTAGTTTGGGTATTTTTTAAAATATCACCAAATTATCTCATATTTTGACTGTTTATTCCAAAGCTGCATTAATTTTTTTCCACTTGGCAACGTCACACTTTACATAACCTACTCTGACTTTCATGCTACCGACAGTTGTAAGTGTCATCAGGTAGATTGTTCCATTTTGCGCACGTGGATGCTGTTTCTTTTTTGATATTAGTAAAAGAGTATTTTCTATAATGTTTCAAAATTCGTTTGACGACTCCACATGCTCCCGGAAGTACAAAAAGCCCATGCAAGCGTCTGTAAGACCAACAATTCCTGTTAAAAAGGTAAGAAACCCCTGTTTGTCGTAATAACACGGAATATTACGTTACAAATGGTACCATTTCTGCTGCATGCTACAAAAAAATGTTTAACAAACTAAATTTATGGCATTTTACAAATTTTTAGAGAACAGATTTAACGAATACTGTAGAAACTGTATACAGAATGCGCGAATTTAATTTTGAAAAGTCAACAGAAACTTTACAAAACACTGTCAACTGTCCAGACGTATTAAAAAAAAGTTTCTTAACACTCGAAGTTACCGAAAATAACCCTTTGACCGTTATTAAAAACGGTACAAAATACTACAAAGTCGGACAAATGCTCGTAACTGATTTCAACCAAGTAATGTATCATCAAAATAAAAATACGAAAATAAACTCGAATTTTAATCTCAAAAACGTGCTGTTTTCTGTGGACGACGGTACCTTCATTCATCCTGAACAAATCTCAGACACCCTTGCATTAGCAAAAACGGGGACCAAAATCGACATATATCATGTCCCAAATGAAAATAAAGATAATTCCCGTAAAAGAATCATATGTCATCAACAATTAAACGAAAGCATAACTAAAAAAATGAAAACCAATTCAAACATGGCCGACTCCGAGCGCAATTGTCTAACTGAAAGAAATGCATTTGTTTCCAACAAAATAGAAACTGTTACTAACACAACAATATTAACAAAAGATGCTGCTGGTGTTACAAACAATAAAATCCAGCAGAATACTGTTAAAACAGCCGAGTTTCCATACAAAAGAGTCATAAGTTACCAAAATACACAAAATGAGTGCATTTCAGAGTATTTAAGCTTCCCGAAAGAAACTATTACGAAAGGGAAAAATCAGGACAAGCTTGATAGAAGCCCAACGTATAGCATTTCATTCATTCCTCACAATAAAGCTTCTTTACGATAAGATGATGGATAAAATTTGTTTTAGCTCAGCACTTTCTAGTGTTGACATTTGTCTTTTTACGTAATAACATTAAGAATTGAAGTTTTTTATCTTATACTGATAGAATCAAGAAGTTATTTTAGTTTAAATTAAATGAATTTAAGTTTTCGTTTAAAATCTGTTACTGTGTTTATTTTTATGTTTATGCTTTATTTTTTATTTTTAATATGTATAAATAAATAAATACTTTTGTAAAGTTTACATTTGTTTATTTCCCTTTGTATCTTAATTACTCTACTTGGGTAAAAACACATTTTTCCTTTACATTCCAAGGTAAAATTAAAAACACATTTTGTATTACAAAAAATATACTTTTCATTGGCATTACAACAAAAGGCCTCTTACTGTAAAATTTGGAATATTAGTGATATTTCGTCTCAGTTCGCGAACATCGCAACTATAACTGTACCCTAAGGTAGTATCATTAGCTTTCCATGTCAACCAATTGACTTGACTGGAAATATCAGTGCACAAAACATCTTTTCTTCGTATCAGTTGATAAGGGTTGTTCACTCCCACGAAAGCAATGGCAGTTTTGGTCTTGGGGTCGTACAAAACCTTCCAATACAACCTCGGCACGCTTATGGCATAATTGTTATTCGAATCCTTGTACAAGTATAAGTCTTGTTGTTTACCATTGACGTCGGGCAGACTTGTGACCCCATGACCACCGGTATAAACCACTAGATCAAGTTGTCGATTCGCACTGAAACTTCTTACATTACTTTCCAAAGTGTTCCAATTTCCCCCATTGAATGTTTGAAACTGGGGGGCTGCATTTACGTAATAAAAGGTAAGCCTGTGCTGTGCCCCAAAAACAAAATCAGCCTTGGCCGCGAAATGTCCTCTCGCCAGGAAGTAATTATTCGTGGAATGAATGTAAGTGGTATCACCCGAACTCAATCCTAGAATGCTGTTAATGGTTCTTCTTTGAGTTGCTCTCGCATAAAGGCTATCAACCGATTGATTTGCATTGTAAAAGCCGCCGTCCATCCAAGACGGTCTTGGAAACCCAGTTTGGTATCCCAAAATGGTTTTGGTCATATTGAAAACAGTGTACAATACGTCTTGGGAACTGCTGGCGAAACACGATGTGATATGATTGATCCATCGGCTCTGGACTTCAAATCCGATCGATATTTCTCTACCTCTGCCATTCAGACAAGTTTTTCCATTGGTACGAGCCACATGGAATGGATAACTAACAAAAAGAAAAATTATTTTACCATGCCCCCATGGAATGTACCCTATTTTTCCCTGGTTTCAAAGACGGAAGCTAGAGCATTCCTTCCTGGCTATGATACCATATTTATTTCTTATTGGGAAAGTATTTAACCACCGCCCATGTGTGTCCGTCCCCGAAACCAGGGAAAAATCGTACATTCGGGCAAGGGGTATAGCAAAAAATTGTGTGCGAGTTTCCAGGAACACGTACAGCATTCCCCCCGGTTCATTCGCCGCCTTCGCCCTGGTTCTAGTGACATTTAACACCAGGAAGGGAATGCCACACGTTCTACATTTCTATATTACGAATCTAACGAAAAATAAACCACAAAATGAAACAGGCACGTATGTAAAGTTGTTAACGTAAAAACAAATTGTTAATTTATATAGAGAGTTTTAAAAATGAATGCACTAGAGAGTGAGCTTATTTGTCTATGTAAATGAGTTTCCTGTCATCTCAAACAAATGCATCAAAAATTTTTTCGCTTTTTTTTGATCAAAAATATTAAACAATTGCTTTCAAATCGTTTATTTCTATTGTCAAACTTTCTCCCCTTCCCTCACGCCATTAATCCCCTTATCTGCGACTGCCTGACACTAGCAAAAACATTTTTAACAGATAACAGAACATTTCTAATCCATTCTACGTCATTGTGTGACAAAAGGATAGGTACTTGAAGAAAGCCGTTCGATCAATGTAAAAAATGCAGCCGATATTATGGACATAATGTACTGAGTGTTATTAAACTTACTTTGTGCAAGTAATGGTATCAAAACGGACATTTCTGTTTCCAAACTGAAACCTTTTAGCTGAAACGCAAGTAATGTTTGCTGTGTCCGTCCCCTGATCCGTACCACCCACCAATATTCTCCTTCTTGGACATGCAATGGTAATCTGTTGCCCAACAGAAAAATTTATGGTACCAGAGGAATCGTCAGGCAAATAAAATGCGTCATTAGTGGTTGAACCCCTTTTCGGTTTTAGAAGAAGCGGCTGGGGGTCCGAAAGGTCCACATTAATTGATATTGCACATCCTAAATTTAATTTGGATTTATTTCATATATTGTTGTTTTTACATGAAAATGATAGCAAAATATAAAACACAAGATTTAATAATCAGTTATTTAGAAGTGCAATCCAAATTTTCAGACGAAATTCAAATTCAAACGGTTGCCATTTAGCAACGCTCGAAACATTGTAATGGCCGACACTGTTAACCGTTGAAAATTTTAATGGCCGACTTAAACAACAATGTCGCAACAATGAAAACAAAAGAATGGCCGACTTTTTCAAATAGAGGCGGGTATGACTTATGAATTATTGAAATCAACATTAATTTACATTTCGCGACTTTGTTTTACATTAAACTTGATTGACTTTGTGACAGTTTCAAAGAATTTTAAATTGGAATACACATACATGACTGCAGCGTCTTACATTGGCGACTACCAGTACTAAATCTCAAAAGAATCAAATTTTCGCGGGCATTTTCGATACAACTAAATATGTTGTTTTGAAAATTCCTATTAGGCTTTGTATGCCAGTATGATAGGCCAGATTTTTTCAAAGTATTCTTGAAATTTAACGAGTAATCCGTTAATTAATAAACTCTAATTACTCTTGAAACAATTATTTTATAGCTTTTGATAAAGTTTTAATATTGAAACATTTACTAACCCCTTATTAATATAAATAATTATTAGCAAAATATCTTTACTTTTATTATTTAATAGATAGATTTTCAAATTTTGTAATCGAAATAATAAATAAAGCTAACTTACCTGATCTAATTGTGCTTGCTCTCACCAAAATAACATTCACCCCAATAAGAAAGAACACCCCGAGCAACATTTTATCAAAAATGCTCAAAATCATGTGTTGATGCGCATATACAAGTGAGACCAATCAACACAAATGATTTACTTATAACAATGTTTATTACCATTTTTTAATAAATACACTTCAGCCTTATCGCAAAGTTTAAAAATTTATCTTGTACTATTCATTGATGAATTGTTTCCGAAGCACTTCAGAATTCGAAAAAGAATCTCTTATTTTAGCTACTGTATATCCGTATGAGTAAACAAAAGAAACAACAAGCAAATAAATTGGTACGGTAAAGGAAAAAATTGAATAGAAAAATGCATTAATTGTTTTTCTCTTTTAAAATTAGCATAAATATATAGGTACCTTTACGAGAACAACCAATCTTGATATATAAAGTATCTATCTGTATTCTAATTGCGACTAATAAACTACATAGTTTACATGTTTCAGGATAAATAACTTTAAAATTATCTCTGAAGATGCCCCAAATTAAAAGATGAATTGAATCAGATATTTCCTATATTCCAATTATGACAAACAAGGTAGTTCACAAGTCTTAGGATAAATAACTTTACAATTACCCCTGAAGAAACCCCAAATTAAGGGGTAATAATCAATAGAGTACCTACATTAATAAGCCAGCCCTTGTCTTGTCTCTGGTCTTCTCGAGGGCTGCCACCGTCGTCTTCCTTACTGAACGGAAACGATCCCTCGATGACCTTTAAACCCAATTTGTCGAGAGTCAAGAAAGGAATTAAGATTTCTCGTCCTCTAATAAAAATGGCTTGCAATTACAGTCACCAAGTTAGTTAAAACAATTACCAGACTCAACCCCCCCCCTATATACTGTGATTAATAGGGTGACGCCTAGTATATGGGGGTGTAGCGGAGGCTTAGGGAAACGCTTTTGTGGGATATGGGGTGCAAGAACCCAAGGGATCAAAAGTTAAGTGTTTGACAAATTGGTAAAGGTTTTTGCAATCAGTAAGTAAACTAATACTGTTCTGATTTGGGTCTAAAGGTTGTAGTGTGTTAAGAAACGTTTCTTCCTTGTAATAACACTGAATATTACACAGAACATAGTACAAATTTGCTGCATGCTATAAAAAACTATTTCATTATTATCATAGGGTCGTCAGTCCTAAGACTGGTAGTTGGACACGCACCTCCACATTTCCTATCTTGAGATAATCTTCGCATTTCCATAAAAAATTGAAACATCCCACATCCTTAACACTAATCTTATTTAGGTCTACTCCTCTTTAGCCCTGTTTCTGCCTCTAATATGTTTCTAACTAGTCTTAATGCCTGAGAAGGTGTCCTACCAACCTATCTCCCCTTTCTTATTGACTTCCATATAGTCCTCTGTTCTCCTATTCTTTCTAATACCTCTTTATATTTAACTGAATTAAATTTATGGAATTATAAAGTTTTTAACGCGGATAATTTACAAATCACTAGAGAGCAGATTAAACGAAGTTATTCATTAATTATCCAAGTGTTTCTTCGAATACGTAGAAACATTATACAGAATGTATCAGTTTAATTTTGAAATGAAACATTACAAAACAATATTTATGAAAGAAACTACATATTACGAAAGGAACAAAAACTTGTGGCATTTCATTCAGTCCAAACAATAAATTTTACAATAAGATGACGCATCAAATTTCCTTTAGATTAAGCCTCGTATTTCCTCTTACGATGACTACTTTCTAGAGTCGACATCTGTCTTTTTAAGTAATAACATCAAGAACTGGAGTTTTTCATCTTATCATACCGATAAAAATCAAGAAGATATGTTTTAGTTTAAATTTTTTTAAACGTATTAATGCCATGAGTTTTAATTTTTTCACTTTATCGTACTGATAAGAATAACGAATCTAAGTTTTCCTTTTAAATCTGTTACTGTATTTATTTTTAAGTTTACCTTTGATTTTTTATCTTTAAACAACTCGTGTACTTTTTTAATATTTATCTCCAATTTGTTGTATGTTTAAATAAACAGTATGTATAAATAAATAGGTACTTTTGTACAGTTTGCATTTGTTTATTTCGCTTATCTTAATTACTGTACTGGTAGAGAAACACATTTTGTATTCCAAAAATATACTTTTTATTTCAATTCATCCTTGTCATTACAACAAAATACCATTCACTGTAAAATTTGGAATATTAGTGACATTTCCCCTTAGTTCGCGAACATCGCAACAATAACTGTACCCCAAGGTATTATCATTAGCTTTCCATGTCAACCAATTGACCTGACTGCAGATATTAGTGCACAAAATATCTTTTTCTCGTATCAATTGATAAGGGTTGTTCACTCCTACGAAAGCAATGGCAGTTTTGTTCTCAGGTTCATACAAAACCTTCCAATACAACCTCGGCACGCTTATGGCATAATTGTTATTCGAATCCTTGTACAAGTATAAGTCTTGTTGGTTACCGTTGACATCGGGCAGACTTGTGACCCCATGACCACCGGTATAAATCACTAGATCAAGTTGTCGATTCGCACTGAAACTTCTCACATTATTTTCCAAAGTGTTCCAATTTCCCCCATTGAAAGTTTGAAACTGGGGAGCAGCATTTACAAAATAAAAGGTCAGCCTATGCTGTGCCCCAAAAATAAAATCAGCCTTGGCCGCGAAATGTCCTCTTGTCAAGAAGAAATTATTAGTGGGCTGAATGTATCTGGTGTCATTCGAGTTCAATCCCAAAATACTGTTAATGGTACTTCTTTGAGTTGCTCTACCATAAAGGCTATCAACTGATGGATTTGTATTGTAAAAGCCGCCGTCCGACCAAAACGGTCTTGGAAATCCAGTTTGGTATCCCAAAATTGTTTTGGTCATGTTGAATACAGTGTACAATACGTCTTGGGTACTACTGGCGAAACACGATGTGATTTGATTGATCCATCGGCTCTGGACTTCAAATCCGATCGATATTTCTCTACCTCTGCCATTCAAACAACTTTCCCCATTGTACTGGGCAACGTGGTACGAATAACTAACAAAAAAAATACATTATTTTACCATAGTCCCATCGAAAGTACGCTATTTTTCCTTGGTTTCAAAGACGGAAGCGCAACATTTCTTTCTGGTTTACACTCTCAAAATGTAATTTCTCAACTCCTGTTTCTAAAAGTAGGGAAAAGTCGTACTTTCGGGTCAGAGGTTTGGCAAAAAATCGTATAAAATTTGAGAAGGGAATGTTGATACATTTCTATATTACGAAAGAAACGAACTAACGAAAATTAAACCATAAATTAAAGCAAAAATATTAGCTTTAGAAACTAATGTAATTACTGATAATTTTGTTACATATATATGCACATAAATTCATTTAAAATAATCCTTATCGCTCCTATTTACAGGATAAAAGCAAATTGTGAATGCATAATCTAAAAGGAGAGTTTTCAAAATAAATGCATTGGAGACTGAGCATCTTTGTCTATGTACATGAGTTTCCTGTCATCTCAAACAAATGTATCAGTAATGTTTTTGATCAGAAGTATCGAAACAATTGCTTTCAAATCGTTTACCTCAATTGCCAAACTCTCTCCCCTTCCCTCACGTCATTAATCCCCTTATCTGTGACTACCTGACACTTGCAAAAACATTTTTATCAGATAACAGAACAATTCTAATTCATTTTACGTCATCGTGAGACAAAATGATAGGTATTTGAACAAAACCATTCAATCAATGTAAAAAATGCAGCTGATATTATGGACATAATGTACTGAGTGTTACTAAACATACTTTGTGCAGGTAATGGTGTCAAAACGGACATTTCTATTTCCAAATTGAAAACTTTTAGCTGAAACGCAAGTAATGTTTGCTGTTTCTACCCCCTGATCCGTACCATCCACCACAACCCTTTCACTTGGACACGCAATGGTAATTTCCTGCCCAACAGAAAAATTTATGGTACCAGCGGTGTCGTCAGGCAAATAAAATGCATCGTTAGTGGATGAACCCCCTTCGGGCCTAAGAACAAGCGGCTGGGGATTCGAAAGGTCCCGATTAATGGATATTGCACATCCTAAATTTAATTCAGACTTATTTCATGTTGTTTGTAATAAATAAAATTTAATAATCAATTATTTAAAAGTTCTAACCGAAACTAAATACAAAATTCAAATTCAAACGGTTGCCCCTAGCAACGCCCAAAAAATTATAATGGCCGACACCGTCAACAATTGAAAATTATAATGGCCGACTCAGACAACAATGTCGCAACAATGAAAACAGAAATGGCCGTTTTTTTCAAATAACCACAGATATGACATGAATTAACGAAATCGACATTAATTTACATTTCTCGATTTTGTTTTACATTCAATCTGATTGATTTTGTGACAGTTACAAAGAATTTCAAATGGGAATACAAATACACAGCATGCAGCGTCTCACATTGGCGTCTATTAGTACTAAATCGCAAAAGAATCAAATTTTACAACTACAAATATAGTTTTGAAAATTCATCTGAGGCATTGCATGTCAGTATGATAGGCCAGATTTTTGCAAATTATTCTTCAAATTTAATGAGTAATCCGTTAATTAATAAAGCTCTAATTACTCTTGAAACAATTACTGTATAGTTTATAATAAAGTTATAATATTGAAGCATTAATTCATCCCTTATTAATATAAATAATTATTAGCAAAATATTTTAATTTTTATTCAATAGCTACATGCATATTTGATTTTACACCATCACATTTGTTTCATTTTTAAATTTTGTAATCGAAAAAATAAATAAATAAAAAGTCCAACTTACCTGATCTAATTGTGCTAGCCCTCGCTAAAACGATATTCACCCCAAGAAACAATATGCCAAGGAACATTTTATCAAAAAGCAAGTGAAATCCACCAAGAGATACGATTTACTTATAACAATGGTTATAGCCACGTTTTAATAAATACACTTCAGCTTTATCACAAAGTTTTCTGTTTAAAATTTTATCTTATGCTATTCACTGATGATTTTTTTCCGAAGCACTTAAAAATTAAAAAAAAAAATATTATTTTGGATACTACATTTCCGTATCAGTAAATTAAAGAAACAACTATAAAATAAATTAGTACTGAAGAAGCGCTAAATTGAGGGGTGAAACGTTAAAATTTTTTGTTAATAAACAAATAAGTAGATTTATTACTTAAAGTAGATATTTTATATATTCCAATTACGACTAAGAAGGTAGTTTACAAGTCTCAGGATAAATAACTTTAAAATTACCCCTGAAGAAGCCCTAAATTGAAAGGTGAAACGTTGGTTTTTATTGTAAATTAATATATAATGAGCTTTACTACTTGAAGTAGATATTTTGTATGTTGCAATTAATACTAAGAAGGTAGTTTACAAGTCTCAGGATAAATAACTTTACAATACCCCTGAAGAAGCCCAAAACTAAGGGGTGAAACGTTGGGATTTATTATAAATAAGTACGTTTAAGTACCTTAAATACTTCAAATGGGTTGTTCCCTTAAAATAATTTATCAGGGATGAAAAATGAATAACAAATATGTACCTACCTGTTTGGTTACTTATTTCTTTTTAGGATTAGTTAATCCTTAAGCACTTAAGAACCCGTTTCCTATCAAAACAAGAATCAAAAAAAGGCAAAAAACTTTTATTAGATAAATAAAAAATTGTATTATTACTCAGTCGTTTATATTTCCTTTTTCAAGATCAAAAATACATTAAAATAGTTATGTATACGTAGTAGAGTTGATAAGTAAATGATTCTCTAGTACCTAATTGTTGTACAACATCATTTTGAAGTAGTATTACAGTTTATACGTACTAGAAACTAATCATCAATAAAAATCGATTGATATTGCGATATTGACGGTTTTTTTTAGTATCTTTCGACCTGAAGGATCACCTCTTCTCTTACGTAGGTGGTACCAGTAGTCCAGCAGCTTTTCTGGCACGTAAAAATCAGAACAGTCCCAAATTCTAATCGAGCACAATTCTTTGGATCGGTGGGCAAACGCAGCTTTTGGATCAGCGTGGGCAAAATCTGAAACTCGAAAATCCTTTTCCCGCCACAATTTTCACAGTTCTTAGGGACTTCCATCAGTGGGTACACCAACAGGGGCTCCTCCACGTCCCTTCCATACCTAAAAAAAGGAAAGACAAACACATTAGTAAATAAGAGCACTTTGTTTATATCCAATCAGTAGTTACCTAAGTATCTGTCCGGGGTTCATTTGAATCCTGGTGATAAAATGATGAAACATCCTGTCACCATGGGCTGGAAGGCTCTTCTCGTACTTCTCAGAAACTGTGTCTCCTTGGTTGTCATTAATTTTCTGGTTGTTGGAGTTCTTCGAAGTCTCCTTGAATTCGTCTTGGTTCTTCTGCTGATACTCGGTCAGCAGTTCTCGGACGTGATGGTCACTGATGTTAGAACTGCTGATTTGTTCTTCCCAAACGGATACAAAGTGAGGAACGAACTGTAAATTGATAAGTTTGTCTGTGTGTCGTTGGATTTCTTGCGGCAGTGGTGGAACTTCTTGCAGAAGAGAGTGCAAATCTCTTTGGGGGATGGTAGGAGTGTCAATGGTAACAATTTCGCCCTCGTCGCCCTCTATTTCGGCCGATATTGGCGAAGAATGGTATGTTTCAGCAACCGCGCCTAAAAGTTTTAAAACTTTTTCAAATTTGGATCGTGGCGTCATCTTACGACAAATAATCTCATTATTTACAAGGTCGTAGGCTAAAAGTCAATCTGACAGTTGTATAACCTAGAAATCGTAAATTATAAGAAATATGCAAATAAATGTGCAAGGAGAAACCAAATAAACAGTAATATGTAACAAAGTCCATAAAAATGAGTACTACAAACCTTGAAGAACCTAAAATTACAGACATTGTATCAAAACAGTCAAATATATTTAATCATATCAAATTTGAACACCTCGTAGCCGGTGTTTCTGGTGGTTTAACATCGACTTTAATTCTGCATCCCTTGGATCTCATCAAAATCCGTTTCGAAGTGAATGATGGCAGACATATAAGAAGCGAGCTTCAATACAATGGCATTTTTAACGCCTTCAAAACTATCTTTACCAAAGAGGGTATCAGTGGACTGTATCGTGGTGTAACACCCAGTTTGTGGGGTGCAGGAAGTTCGTGGGGCTTATACTTCTTACTTTACAATTCATTAAAGAGGTGGGTACAAGATGGAAACACAAACAAGGCCCTGAACGCAGGAACTCATCTTGTTTTAGCTTCTCAAGCAGGGGCCTTGACACTGACTATAACCAATCCCATTTGGGTTGTTAAAACACAAATGTGTCTTCAGTATGGTGGTGGAACAAGTCAGAAAAATGCCTACACTGGCATGTTCAATGCTCTACACAAAATTTACACACAAGAAGGGTTACGTGGGTACTACAGAGGATTTCTACCAGGTCTGTTTGGTGTGTCACATGGGGCTGTACACTTTATGGCTTATGAAGAGATGAAGAATAGATACAACCAATACAAAAATGTCCCCATATCAACGAAACTAGGCACTATTGAATACTTAACATTTGCTGCTGTATCAAAAATTATTGCTGTTTGTACAACTTATCCTTACCAAGTGGTAAGAGCACGTCTTCAAAATCAATATTACACATACAAGGGATGTTGGGACTGTATACAACAAACGTGGAAGTATGAAAGCTGGAAGGGCTTCTACAAGGGACTGGGACCAAACTTGATAAGAGTTACCCCTGCTACAATGATCACATTCTTAACTTATGAAAATGTAGTACATTTCTTAGAGCATAGGGATAACATTTTCTTATCTTAACTTTTTTTGTAAATATTTTACTTTAACTTTTTTGTAAATATATAGTATTTATTAAATGTAAATAAGTTGGTATCAAAATTTTTATGTTAAGTGAAAACTAATTTAAAGTAATTTTTGTTGTAATAGTTGTTGTTTTTAATAAATCAGTATTGATTAACGTCTCTGGTTTTCGGTTAAAGCAACAAAAAAAGTTAAAAAAAAGAATATGATATACATATAGGTACCTTGGGCTCCAGAAACCACTTCTATGTTTGCGTTGCGGTCATCTACAATCATATTTCCAAAAGCTGCACGAAGAGACTCTTCAGTGCTGCAACTTTCGTCGTCTTCGTCAGAGATTTTTTCAAAATTTCCCACGAAATTCCCATTTTCTTCGTTCCCATTCGAATTTGCGTCTCCCCAATCGTCAGCATCGTGAAACCAATCAGTAACATTAAAAGAGGTACATTTAAAATTCGATTGCGGTTCGTGAGAAGTTTCCCCCAATTGATCTGTGGTTTGTACCCTTACACAGTCCCAGCTGAAATGGTTTATAAAAAAAATTAAAACAAAACAAGTATGTGCATTTTTCAAAAAATTACCTCTCACTGTGGTTCCAACAGTTTGGATTTATGCACGCAAATAAGTAAAGCGTTCGATGATAAGTTGAATTATCTAAAGGAGCGTAAATTTGTAGAATTAACAGTCTTGGTAATTGACAAAGAGGACAAACAGGATTTTCTAAATGAACAGAAGGTGGATAATCCTAAAACATAATTTATAAACATATTTATTCCTAAATAAACCACAAAAAAAAAGAAAAAAAATATTTATGTCCTTAATGAGTTACGAATAAACAGATATGAAGGCCTCTGTTTTAGATACTTAAAATCTATTTTAGTAACCGTTTTATATAAGCAGGGGGTGTAACTCAGTGGTAGAGTGTCTGCTTCGCATGCTGAAAGTCCTGGGTTCAAATCCCAGCACCTCCAAGTAGCTGTACTTTTTTTTGTTACTACATTTATTTACTGTTTTATCTCACATTAAATGAGTACTGTATAATAACAGATTATTTCACAGACATTTTCCAATTACTTATTATAAAGAGGCACTTACAGGTTTTCCACCAATTTTGTTCGTCATATAATTGACAACTGACGCATGTTTATCGGTGATAATTTCGTCGTCGTACCCTAACAAGACGCTATTTTTGCAAGCCATTATTATGAACGAAAATCTATGTTTTTGTTATTCAATAAACCATACTTTTAATTAATAAAATTGATATCGCGTACGCGACGTCGGATTTCTGCAATGGAAAAACATGCGCAACATGTACAATGACCTTGGCGCACCATACAATGCATTATCGATTTCTCTAGGTTATGTACTAAATTTTTGAAAAAAAGAACTTTTTTCTTTTTTTTAATTCATATTTTTTTCCTTGTTCATAATGACCAGAATAAATGATATTGCTTAATGAATATGGCTTCTGTAAGAAAGTATTCTGTACAAATAAACACAATTATATATCAAGTAGACTTTTACCCCTGTTTTTTTTTTGTTTTTTGTCTTATATTTATCAAAATTGGTGGTTTTTGATTGTAAGCCATAATAAAATATCAACGAGTTTTTCAAGATAAACTTAATTATTACTGTCGTTTAAAATTCATATTTCACCACAATTACAAATCTTTAGTGTCCCATCATTACTAGTATAATTTTTTCAAAATTAAGAAGGTACTTCCCCTAAAAAAAGAATAATTAATTCCACAATATTTTCATCATATAGCTCATCAACGACATAAGTTTTTACAGGGACGTTATAAACTTATTTTCATTTTAAATGTAATTTGAGCAATTACAAATCTTTAATGACCAAAAATTAATAATTTTTCATAAAGAAAAAGCATAACAGTTTTTCCTTAGAATTATAATAATAAGTCCTTTGTTGAATTTATAACAAAACATAAGTTTGAACATACATCAGAATGTTTGTTGTTTAGTACTCCATATAGTTTTGATAACACTTAGCGATTGAGCACATGTTATTTCCCAGTCTTTTCGAATTTTAAAAATCTTTTTCATGCCACGTACAGAATAAGAAATATTTCTTAGATCGTCTACTATCCCAATGGCACATATTTCTTTGTGCTTTGCTGCCTGAAATACAATACTCTGATGATACAACTCATCAAGGACGTAAGTTTTTATAGGGACATTTTTAGGCCACAATATCTCATCTGGTGAAGCGTTTGCCTTTGATTTCATAATTAACACAGAATTTCCTAGCAAAAGACTTGAAAGAATCACTTCATTAACGTGAGGACATTCCTTTCCAAAATTAGTTATCATAATAACATCTCGTGGCTCTTTTATACACTTAACAGTGTAATGTCCTTGGTTTGATGCAAATGTACAGTTATTATTCAAAATGTTACCAAATTGCCTAGCCAAAGAATCACATTGAATATTCTCTGAAAGGACTTTATAGCGTTCTAGTAAACTCAAGCGTTTCCACGACTCTTGACACGCTTTTAAATCGTTTAGGGGACTTTCTAAATTTCTAGAAAAAAATTATTAATTTTAGATATTTTATTAAAATTACGACTATTCCATTTTACGAACATGTCATGTCCTTCCTGAGTCAGCTTCTCATCAAAATTTCCACCTCCTAAATACTCCATGTAGCCTGAAAGAATAAAAAGTAAAAACTGTTGATGTAATGATGGATTAAAAATGTACCCTCTCGTCCACCAAAATGTCCTACTCCACTCATTTTACGAAAATTTATTGAGGCCATTGGGACAAAATTGCCATAAGTGTTTATCCAGACATTCGTCACCTTTAGGAATGAATTAATTATTGCTAATTAATTTTACTCAACAAGTATACTCATGGAATTAAATTAATAAAATTATATTAGAAAAAGATAAAATAATTTTATTTTCACCTACAATCCTCAGCAATATTTTCTATTATAGATGAAACTAATTTTTAGACAGATTATTTCGGTTTATAAAGGCCTAGAGACAGTCACACTATGAAAATGGCCCCCCTAAAAATGACTATATTTTCTATAAAAAAACTTCTGTACTCTGTTATGGGGTCATTATCAAACTCTTATCGATTCGATCGATTTATTAAAAGGTATATGTTTGCAAAATGCTCATTAAAAAGCAGAAACTCATTTTAGGAGAAAATATCTACATTTAAAGACGTTTACCGTTAGTTTTTCTGCAACTTCTTCTGCTGTATCAATGTTTTCAGTCCAAACAGAGGCAGCTAACCCCTGACGACTGTTGTTAGCTAAAGCCACCCCTTCGGCGATGCTTCTAAAGGCCAACACTTGAACCACAGGGGCATAACAATCTTCAGATATTACCCTATTCATAAATACCTTTCCCCCTATAATTAACGTTGGCTGAAAAGTATTAGAATCAGGATTGTTTTGATAAACTTCCAAGCCCATCTTCTTAGCCTGGGCTACGACTTCTATAAGTTTATCCACATATTTTGGGACTGCTATGTCGACTGATTTCTGAATTGCTGTCCCCACTTTCACTTTATTCAGACGTCTCTTCAGTTTCCCAAGAAACAACTCAAATACGCTTTCTTGGACAATTAACTGGTTCACAGACCAAGGAAGCTGGAAAAGAAAAAATTGTTTTGACCATAAAAATCATTTTAATGTTCTTACAAGACTTCGATAACTCCAAGCAGCTTCTATAACGGTTTCACAGGCAGAATCTAAATCGGCGTCTGAGAAAACAACCATCGGAGCCCGAAAACTGGTCTCCACTTGAACAGACACATGTTTATATATTGAATAAAAGAAATTAGGTACAATTCGTACTTGCCACAAAATTTTTATTGCTTGGAACGTATAATTCCGCATATTTTTGTTTAAAAAAGTTGTCAACTACAACAAGAGTTTTAACTAAACTATTTCCAACCCATCTGTCTATCTTATACTCATAGGGAGTAACAGTAAACATAAGCTGAGGACAACTAAAACATTAATTATTTAGTCTTTAGAAGTTATTCTTTTTCTTTTTTACTTTTCAAGCTCTCTTGCTAGTTTAATTAGAAAGCTTAAGACAGGAAAAATTCTAGAGTCAGCTTGTAAAACAATCCGTTGTCCACTTGCAACTGCTGCTCCTATTAATGGCCCCAACAGTCCCAAAAATGTATCGTCACAAAGCACATATACTGCAACGTCTTTGATATCATTTTTTTCATTTGCCAGACTTGTGAAGTACACTAGACTTTCACAAAGAAATGGTAAAGCTTGAAATTGAGTGTCTCTCATTAAAATTCCCCTGGATTTAGCTTCAATCTGGCAAATAGTTCTTGAATTCCTCTCTATAGTTTTTGATAGCCTACAAAGTACATATACATTCAGATAGGTACTGTAATCAATGGTGAATGCTAAAAATGGGGGTAATTACTTTAAAAGAAATGAGATCTTCTCCTTGCTTGGAAAACAATTGTTCGCGTTTACAACATTATCCATCATATATTCTAGTTCTAAGAGACTTGAAACGAGCACAGTTCCATTCTTTTCGTCCACCTGGTACTCCTCAAAACCGCTCAACGTTTTAAACCAATTCTAAAAGTTGCTTTGTCATTATTTTGCTATTTTACTTAAATAAAACCTACATTTCCACAACTGAAGTCTTCCACTGCCTCAGGGTAACTCATATTTTCAAATACTTTTTTCAGAGTCACAGAATTACTGCTATTCATTTTTGGCTTGGAATTAAGCTTATCAGCCACTCGATGAACAATTAAATCGAGCTTTTAAATCTACAATTACTTATGTAATAACAGCAAAAGGTATACTTTTTACTCACACTTAATTTGTGCTGCTCTTTGCTGTATCGTTTGATAACCATAACACAATTTATCAGTATTTTTTAACAATGATTATCACAAAACTTTTTTGAGGTTAGAATCATAGATTAAAAAATATAGACTGCTGGTTAAAATAGCAGATAAACAAGAAGCACAAGAAGATAGCAATTTATCGTTTAAATATCCAATAAACAATTCGTTTTAACAAGCTTAATTACAGACCTTATCGGAGATAAAACTAATCAGATATATCAGAATGATTGGATTAAGTTCAAAGCTATTTAATCAGATAGCATACAGGGGCACAAGGAGCAGTGGTGGTAAATTGCCTATTTTGTTAGGCCTTTGCCCTTTACAAATGGCAATAACTAATAAAATTAACGTAAGTTAACTTTCAGTTCTGCCTATGCCACCTGAGCTTTCTAATATGTTATTTCATAACATTTTTCTAGTATTCAAGACCACTTCACATGACTGCTTTAAAATTAGTTCCAGATAGGAAGACAACCGAATTTAAGAAATCAACGAACTTAAAAGTATCAAGAAAAACAGTTATAACTGTTTCAGTAGTTATATTGGGCGCGATTTTAATTTATTACTCAATATTGTACACCACATACACCATAATTGAAAAAACTGTAGAAAGTACTGATAAAAAATGAATTGTATTAAAACTTTCACCTTTATTTAATCATTAATTACTTTTTTCTATTTCTATTTATTGTCTTGACTTATTCTTGTAATTTTGAAATAATAATTTGGCGCAAGTTTTGGGACTTCCCATAATATATTAAACGCACACGAACTCTGTAACGCACTCAGAACGATATACCTTGAATATAAGAATAAAAACGAATGAATTAATTTAAATATTTAATAATATCTTAGTATAACATACAAATATTTACAATATATTGCACAGAGCTGTGTGCCACACTGAAAATCAATGTGTACAAAAATAGACTCTGTTTTGTATACTACAATATCATTTATAATGGTAGCATTAACGATTTCTCATGGTAAAATTATAAAAATTAAGTTTAAATATCCAAGCAATTACGAAGAAAATGCGAAAGAAACTGCTACACAACCATGCTACAATAATTATTAGATTTTAAAATGGTAACACTGCAAAAATTGAATCGTATAACAGACTTTACGATCTTATTATTCTCATTTGAATAATTAAAAACAAAAAGAACAATTCGTAACAATTACATAAAACAAAAACATTTTCAGTACAACAGCAACTTTTTTTATTGTCCTCCAGAATTTATTTTACATGAGAAGGCAGCGAATAAGAGAATAAACAGGACAAATGAGAATAATAAAAACGAAACAAAAGAGAATTTCGTTTCTAAGAAAAACGAATAAAAATTTACACAACATGATAATATATACATTACATAGTTCGAATGGATTCTCCTTTAATTGGCCTATTTTATATTGCAATAATAAATTATATGATACAAAAGCCGCTTTTAACAAAAATTGTAACGCTAATCGCTCGTTCTAAGCCAAGAAATAAAATTAAATATAGTTCAGTCCAAGGTTATAATAAGTTAGCCTTAAATAAGCTTCTGTACATCCAAGGCTTGTAAAAACTGTACGCAACCGAATTAAGTCGAAAAAATCAAAAATAGCAAGCAAACTGTGCAATTTTAAACCGTTTAGGCACGCATATAGGATAGATGGGATATCATAACGAAAAAATATCAGAAATTATTGACTTCTAAAAAAAAATAAAACAAAATATTTAGTTTAGTTAAAAACGGCAGTACTTAGTTAAAATAAAACTGGAATCCTCTGTTACTGTCAGTTAATTAAAATGTGTATACCTTTTCCTTTTCTGAACTTGTAACGAAATTAAACAATATTTTTAACAACACCCTTATACATATTATAATTAAATTCGTCTATCAAAATTTATTTATAAAAGAATGGAATGTCTACTAAAAGATAATAAATGACTGAATTTAATAATTAATAATCAAAAAACACCTACTATTGATTCTTTTCAACCACACTGAAGTTATTGTTAATATCGTTATTTTAATTATATAAAACCGTACCTTATCTATACTAATTTATTGTTATTCTTTTATTTATTTTGATATGGTGTAGTCCACGTACTTACACGCTTGAAAAATCACACAGATGCCATAACATATAACTGAAAAAAAGAATCACAAAGTTTACAATACAAAGAATGAAAAAAAAAAACACTTACAAAAGTTTGTGTACATTATTATGCAGTCTCATGAATTTTGTGCAGGCTGTGTTATCACTTCTGGATTTATTATAACTTGTACAACATTTCCAGATGGAATTTTTGCTTCTTCCACATGCAACTTATCACCCAGTAGTTTACCTCCATAAAACCATCTTTGTTTCGAAGACTCAATCCCTTCCTGACTCTGAAAAGCAACAAAATGAGAAATCAATCTGCAAAAATTAACTCTAAATACCTGTAACTTTTTCTTGCACACTCCAATAGTGTCTGTGGTATATACAGATAACTTAACATCACTGCAAATATGTGATAAGCGTAATTTGAGTGTTGTTTCTGTACCCCCATCCAATGGTTCTGAACATTCAGCTGGAGACTCCCTGCCGCTGTCTTCTTTTACTATATTTATTGGATATGAAAGGCAATAAATGGGGACCTGATATCTGGCCCCTAACTCATCATAACACTCTGTCAGATATCCATTTGGCACAGACACACTGGCCCCATCCAGAATTGCTTGAGCTAATTCATAGTCCTTTGCTTCTGCTGCGACCGCAGCGGCACGTAATGCGTCCCATATTTCTTTTCGGCCATCGAAGGCCGGGGCTGTTTCCCAAAATTCGTCTCTTTTACTACGAAGTTGACCTTCGGTCAAAGGAACGTCCGACTTCCATCGAATCGTTTCATGGCACAAAGGGTGATTTTTTCTACTGTTACCTACACATACAGCAAAACAGGGTTAAATTTATTTAAAACGTAAGAGATATTAAAGTTACTTTGACAAATACTAGTAAAAAAACGTTTAGATAAGAAACTAACCTCAAAGTTAATGAGAACAAACGTCAAACACATAATGCAATTAGTCATGCTTTTTTAAGGTTGAATTAGAAAAATTCGTATATAACTTATCAAAATACCTGTACTAGGTCTTGAAGTAGAACTAGAAGATTCTTCTGTACCACTTCTTGCACGTGAAATTCCTATACACCCACCCATGTTTTTGTCATTTCAAGTGGTATTTTTCTTATTGCACCCTTTTCACTATACATTTTCGTGTATAAATTGCAACCATTTTTAATAGCATACACTTAAAAGATAAAATTAAAGCCGTGCACAGAATATTTAATACGAAAAGATGTTTTCCTGTCATTAACTGTCACCCTCACATTCATATTCATTTTGTTGCAAATCTCCTCACCACCCCCTCCTTTAAGAGGATGTGTCTCGATATTGAAATACGGGAAATAATAATGAACCTATGTGTGTTACAACAACTGTTAAAAAAGTTTGAATTTTGAATTTATTCTTTGCTTAAAATTTTCCTTGTTTTTTATTTTAATTATGCTCTGGATTATTTGCGTAACTACCTTTTTACGACTAGTTTTTAATCAATCAACAAATTTAAAACCGTTAAAACCACAAAAACTTCAATTAAAAATTGTTAATACTTTAAAACCACAATTCGCAATTTTTTTAGTTTTCATAATAATTTCTTTATCAATAATTGTATCGTTACGTAAATGTTTTGTATACCAACAAACGTATATTTTGACTCATTAATTAACCTTGTGACTACATGTATATTACTGTAATATGAAAAGATTACAGCGGTAAATATTAAGAATAATTATAGTTTGCATAAATAAAAATTAAGATAATCGTTTTTCAGACTGTTTTCAGGTAGATGGATGCAAAAAACATATACATTATCTGTGCTAAATCAACAGAACAGTTTATCAAATAATTGTTCTACAGAAGATGTAAAAAAAGAAAGCAATTTAAATTGTCATTTATTTGTAGGAGCAACTGTACTTGCTTATTTATCTTATAAATTATTTTGTAAGTTTTTTATTCCAACATTTTATTTTGTTACAATTTTTTTTTATCTAGATGAAGAATATGTCGCCTATCTTAAAGAAATAAAAACCCTTGTAAAACCAGGGGCTTTAAAAGAAAATTTACCGAATTACACTCTAAAGCAAGTAGCAGAACATCGCGAGAGGTGAACATAATTATAATTAATTTTCTCTTTATTTTATTGTATTTAATATTTCTGACTATGGATGACTAGCTACCATTCTAGCACACCTGTATTGCGGGTCATCTAATAACTTAAATTATATACAGGGTGATTAATTACAAGTACTTAAAGCAAATTTTCAAATACTTAGGGAAAAACGAATTTGGGTAACATATAAGGATGGAGTGTATGATATCACAGAATTTGTGGATGCACATCCAGGTGGGGACCAAATACTTTTAGCAGCAGGGGCTTCTGTCGAGCCCTTTTGGAAATTATATGGGCAACACCATGCAGATTTTGTATATGAAATACTGGAATCTTTACGAATTGGTAAAGAAAATATGTATATCGTCTTTTATAATGAATTTTTTATTTAACTGGTTATTTAATTGATGTGTAGGAAATCTGGTTGATGATCAAAAACCTTCCAGCACCACGTCAGATTTTTCGGACCCTTTTATAAAGGAACCTATTAGACATGCAGCTTTAATTCCAGCATCAGAGAAACCGTTTAACGCTGAATTACCACCAACGTTACTCGTGGCAAACTTTATCACCCCAAAGTATATAAATATCTTAATTTATTCATTGTAACATTGGACAATTTATAAGGGTGGATTTTAGCGAACTTTTCTACGTCAGAAATCACCTTCCTGTTCCGGAAGTGGATCCAAAGAAATATGAATTAGAAGTAGATGTTGAGGGGACCAACAAAAGTATAAAACTGACAGTGGAATCTCTTAAAAAATTACCAAAACACACCATCACTGCCACCATTATGTGTGCTGGTAATCGTCGCAGTGAAATGACTGAGGTATTTTATAATAATTAGTCACATATTTGTTATATTTTTTTTGATACAAGTTAGCACCACTGAGCTTTGATCTTTTGAAAAACTAAAGTGGTTTTTTATTGCTCAATTTTACCTTAATTTTTTTCTTTACATTTGATATCGCACTAAAAGGAACTTTAACCCAGGTTAAGCCCGTAAAAGGTCTAAGTTGGGGCGTAGGAGCACTAGGTAATGCTGAGTGGTCAGGTGTGTTACTGAGAGATGTCTTAATATCAATGGGGATCGACGAAAATTCCAATTTTCAACATGTACAAGTAAGATAATTTTTAATAGTAATTGCTTGTTACTTTTTTTATTAATAAGCAATTTCATTATTTTTATTTGTAATTAGTTCGAAGGTTTAGATACAGACCCGACCAAAAAGCCTTACGGTGCTTCAATTCCCTTCTGGAAAGCTATAGATCGAAAGGGTGACGTTCTATTGGCATACGAAATGAATAACGAAGTTATCCCCAGGGACCACGGTTTCCCAGTTAGGGTAATAGTACCGGGAGTGGTAGGGGCTCGGAATGTTAAGTGGCTAAGTACATTTTTGGTCATAATTAATAAATTCATTATTTTTATATTTTAAATTTTCGTTTTGAAGAAAGAATTATAGTCTCAAACAATGAGAGCGACAGTCACTGGCAGCAGAACGACTACAAGGGGTTTTCCCCCGGCATTGATTGGGATAACGTCGATTTTTCAAAATCACCTGCAATCCAAGAACTACCGGTTACATCAGCTATTTGTGTACCTTCCCCAAATCAAACCGTTACAGTTCGAGACGGTCATATAACAGCTTATGGTAATGATTTAGCTTTGGCGTGTGTTATTAAATTTAAAATATTTTGTTAAGGTTACGCTTGGTCGGGAGGTGGTAAAAAAATTATACGTGTCGACGTGACAATTGATAAGGGAGATACCTGGCATGTCGCAGATATTATTCAACAGGATTCTGCAGAACCCCCACAGCATTGGGGATGGTCTCTATGGACTGTTCAGGTACCTGTTTCAAAAAATGCTAAAGAAGTAAGTTGAGCTTGAGGATACTTATTTGTATCAAAAACGGTTGTAACTGATTGTTTCAGGTGGAAATTTGGGTAAAAGCTGTGGACTCTTCATACAATACTCAGCCCGAATCTTTTAAAAATATATGGAACTTAAGAGGGGTGTTAAGCAACGCGTACCATAAGGTACCGATTAAATTACAATGGGATTAAAACTAAACACTATTTCTTGATGACCAAATAAAAGTTTTATATTTACTATTAGACTTTTGTTACATGTTAATTTATGTATGTCATTCTCTGTCCACACTTTCCGCTAACATACTGAGCAGCGGGTACCATTTTCCAAAATGTCCCTTAGAATGTGGATGAGAAACTTTACAGGCTCCATAATAAATGTAACTTTCATCTAAAGTGCCAAACCAAATTACGAAAAAATAATAAATAAAAAAAATAATAATTACCAAATTCTTGTAGACACATTTCCCTTTTCAACTTGCAAAGACTGTAATAAGCTCTACCACGGGAACAAACGGGATGATAATCGTTAGGATCACATTCTGGACAGTCCTCAAAGGGCTGGAGAACGACAATTCTTATTCCTAAAATTAGTTATTGATTTAATAGACGATGTTTTTAAATAAATTTAAAAAAAATCACCTAACGCTAATAAGAATAGAAAATACATTAGATTAATATATAATTCGCAATTTAATGCTAAAGATAACGTCAACGAATAGAACTGAATATTCTAAGACTAGATTAATTGGACACGCACCCACATTTCAAATACAATAGCGCTATACGTAAATCAAAACTGTGAAATTAATGAACACCTCACAAGTTTCAATAATTTCATTATCGTTTTTAAACGTCATACGTCTTAATTTTTTTTTTCAGTCAAAAGAACAGATTTCACGATAGTTACGGATTAACTGGGGCCCGAGAAGCTAAAGAAAATTTGCATTTTCTCAAATAAACCATGAAACAAACCCATTGTATCGTCTCCTACGTACATATACAATTATATAGATAAAAATTCAGATTCTTACCAATACAATACCCAATATTCATAAAAATTAATTTTATCCTTTGTTAATTAGCAAGAAAAATTGGGTATATAAAGTTGTTAGGTGCGGTTTATATTTTTTCCGTAATGGTTTCCTATAATATTGAAGTAATGCCTTATTTGCATTTTTAAAATCCCCCAAGATAAAGCATTAGCATTTTAACATAAAACTATAAGTATGTAGTTTAAAAGTAAACAAAAAATTGTTTAAGTCTGTTTGATACCCCGTCGACAATATCGGTTTCCACTGCTATAAGGGGCTTTTTTTACCTTTTTTTTGTTTGGTGATGAAATCCTACAAATAAAACAATTTAGAAAACATTTACCTAATTTATTTAAACAATTTGCAATTATATATATATTTTTGCATTACATTTAACAACTAGTACACCTACTACAGATTAATTAGCATCGATATATACATTATATTCTAGCGGTAATTATTTGATTAATTAACTATGAACTAATTTAATCAATAATGACTGTTATTATTCCAAGACATACACAGTAGAATTGTGTAGGTAGATTATTTGTAAACTGCATTTACAAATGGTGGGTTTTTAAATACCAAGCGTGGTAAAATACATTTCTATGTTTACTTTTGCTTTATTTATTACAAAAGCCATTTTCGGTCACTGTTTTTTTAGTTAATAATAATAAATGGTAAGTAAGTATCTCCTACTGTACAATTACACGTATTATTCTTTTCTGCCAACCGGATCTTCTTTGCGAAAATGCCAAATATTAATTATTACCGTTATATACAACACATTAATATATTAATAAACAAAAAACTAACTAGAACAATATAATAAATCCATTTGACCCCACAATTTCAGTCTGAAATTAAAAGGTTCACGTTCGTACATTAACAAGCTACTGGAAACCCCAATTTTCGGTCCCCATCCAAATGCTGTTACATTAGGGAGTTCACACACGTCTACTGAGGGTAACTACTGAAGAATTATCGTTTATGCGGTAACACAAGAACAAAAGAGACCAATCACTGCCCAGGAATGAATACATATGTCCCTTGTTACAATATAAAAACAAACTTATTACGTTAAGAGTAAAATTATGGCAGTGCTTACAATATTTTGTTTTTACTAGTTACCTTTGAGAAGCTTAATTGTAATTGCCATTAATTAATGCCTTTTTTCATTTTATAAACAGTAAATGAATGAATGAAATGATTTCTCTGTGTATATTACAAAAAATTTTATATACAAACTGATTTTTTTTTAATGAGAGCCAGCTCATATGCATCGATAGAAATTTATTTAACCACTTAAAGGCCATGTAAAAGAAATTACAGAAGTTTATGAATTGATAATGCTTAGGAATGTCTTTATATTATCGATTACAAGTAATAACTGTAATGACTATTGTTTACTGGCAGATTTGCTATTATTATGGAAAAAAGAAACGTAAAAATTCGTACAATACAAGTAGCATTTCAGGATTAGGACTTATTGGGGTGGAGTGAAGCATAAATGGGGACAGCTTTAGATTTGACATGCTCTGAAGCATTTTTAGCTGCATCTTTTAGTTTACTTCGAGTTGTAGCTTCTTGGTGAAGCGAACCATTTCCACTTTGTGGTGGAAAAAGGTTGAGAAGGACATGATTGAATCCTACAACCTATGGAAGTTCAAAAACATTAGAAAAATTATGTTATTTTAAGAACTTATTTACTTCTAAGTGTTTATTTTTAAACAGATATATTTTTATTTTTGGAATGTTCTAAAAATATAGTGAGCAAAGATTCATAGTAAACAAGAACTTTTTAAATAACAGAAAACTGATCATCTAGTTGTAAACAGGGAGTTTATAAAAAGGGCATCAACATAAAGGCACGGTTTATATTAATTTAGAATTTATTAAACTGTTGCTTACCATCTTGTTGCAATTTTTTTTGAACCTTTCATAACCAAAAGCACAAATAGCTCTGCTAAATCCCTTTATTTGTGAGTCAATCCAAGCTGATCTAACAGCTACAGTTTTACCTGGATGATCCTTACTTTCTGTATATACAACCTTCTCAATAACACTCTGAAAAGAGTTAAAATCTCAACATGAATGGATTACATGACATTTAAAAGCATACCATGACTTTTACATAACCCAAATTTCTGGTGTAGGTCACCAATGTCTTGGTCTTAGGATCTACAATTGATTCTTCAACTATAAAGACTTTCTTAGTTGTAATAAATCGTTCAGCCCATTTTGGGTAGGGATTAGTCTTGGATATTAGTCTTTTGCTTATAAGTCTTCCTTCTTTCACTTCTCTACTGACTGTGTCCTCAGTCAAGACATGTTTGCTTATTAAAAATATTTGTTACAATATTGAAATTTTACTTGCTGTTTGAGAATTAAAAAAGTTACTACCTACATACCTGTTTGGATTTGGATAACGTCTCCAAAAGCCTTGCGCCACTTGGTCCCAGGTGAAGTTGAATATGGATGTGACTTCGAAATATCGTGGCATCGTTATTAAGACGACCTTATGTCTTCTAGGACTCCAAGGACTCTTGCATTATAAGCAGGACATTTCAAAAATTTGGAAACTTGAACGATGAAACACGTTGCTTACAATTTTTAAGTGTTCAATAATTACGTTGTTTTGATTGGCAAATACTAAATTATTACCTTACCAGCTACATTTCAAATGCATTTAAGAAAATGGAATGTCTGTTATTGAGGTCTGTTGTTTGTCACAAAAAAAAGAGTCATGAAAGAGTCACTAACTTTGTGAAATCTGAAGTTGGGTTGGAAGTTGGAACTGTTTACTTGCACGTACAAATAAATCTAACTTCAAGTAATAAAATGGGAGATAAAATTAAAATAAACAACTGTCTCATCAATAAGAATAAGGGATATAGATGTTATATATAAATGGAGATAATATCCACTGTAACTTAAAAAATAAATATAAAAAGGATTACAAAATATTTAAAAAATCTCATCAAGCCGATTTTATATACATTAGTCATGCTA